AGGGGAATCATTTGATTTGATCCGAATCTGAGCTGTGAATGTTGGTATCAACAGAGGCGGAGCGATGTCTGTGTGAAAAGCCAAAGCCGGCATGCTGGAACAGGAATGAAGTTTCAACACTGTTGTGTTCCAAGTTGTGGTCTTTCTTTCTTCTTTTTTTAATGGTCTAACTCTGAAAGTCCACTGACTCTGGCTGTGCAACGGTTTTATTAGGTCACCAGCTCGGTGTCAACGTCCACTGGAAGTGTCTCAGCATTGACTTGTTTGACATTTTTGTGCTTCTACCCTTCTCCATTGCTTTCTCTGACCCTGTTTTGTTCCGCCATCTTCAGGCTGCATATCCCACAGGGAGCATTTCTAATTTAGAGCATTTTACCTGCCTGATTTTGCTGGCATGTTTAGATTTTGTCACTTTTGTGATTCTACTATGGGTATTTTATGTTGAAAATTGATGGGGTGAGCTCAGGCAGCCGCGGCATAGCTGGCCTCAGTGGAGGTAACCCGGAAAGCAGGAATGCTATGTAAAAGCACACACGTTTCTCAATATTTTGTTTGTTATATTTTGTTTCAGAATGACTGAGCAAATGCAGCATATTGGCATTATTTCCATGACTATTGTGGTATCTCTATGTCAATGCGCCTAAAATTGGACTAAAACAGGAGACAGGATTAGACACAGAGACATGGACCAAACATACAGAACCCACAGATCAAAACTAAATGGTAAAAGCAAGAGGTGAACACCTGACACAAACAGTTTACCCAAACACAGGCACAAGGTGTGACGGCCCCAGGTTTTACACCCATACACTCCACTCACACATACACTGCATACACACTGATCTGACAGACAATTGTATATTTTTGCTTAATTTACTTATTAAAATATCTAGTATTATTTTCACACTGTGTGGTTTCTCTCTTTTGTCACTTACTGCCTGGATACAAATAAACTGTCATACAGATAAATAATGTTGTTAGTTAGATAGTTCCTCCTCGTAATTTGCTAAAGTTCTTTCAAAGTGACCAAATACCTCTTGAGCGGCTTCATATGCTGTTTCACCAAAGCTTACAGCATTAGAATAGTTTTGACCTTTGGTTTTGACATGCAGCTAACCAGAAGGCAGAAGCCTTTTCTCTGGCACTTGGCTTGGTCTTTGGTGTACCTGGTACCTCACCGTCTGTGTGGGCTCCAGTGTAATCATTCAGAAGAGTTACCTAGCTGTTATTGTACCACTTCACAATGTGCAAGGTGGTTTGTCCAATCATTGCCCTCTTCTGTTCAAGAGATCCACGTCCTGCTCTCTTCAGCTCAACATCACACATCAAGTTGAAGCCTGGTGGTCCGTTGCCACAAACAAAACCAGTGCAGGGAATTCCCTGCGGAGCCAGTGTAAGCAGAAAATATTTTGAAGGAATTTTAGGAGTACTATGACACAGGTTTCCCCAGGTCATAAAATGGTCAATTACTGAAGTGAAGTAAGCCAAAGGTGACAGTCAGACGCTAGGCCAGACTGTCTCTCCTCTCAGCATGCTTGGTCGACTAGCTGACGCAGCTGCCTTGATAATGAAGGTGCTTAAGGCAACCACTGCTGATAGCAGGGGTTTGTGCAGGACACCATCAGAGCCAGCAAAGACGAATATATTGTCCTCATTTCTTTAATTTTGCTGGCAGGTATTGCTTCAGTCTATTTCTTGATCGAAACATCTGCTCTTCAACAACCACCTTCTCACCCATTGGAATTGACGTCACTTTTGAGGTTAGATGGGTGACCAGTGGATCATCATTTGCTTCTTGTCTCTCTTCATTTTTACTGAAATGCAGTGAATATTTGATAGCCTCCCATTTATTCAGTGTCTGGTAAACCAAACAATGATATGCACACCACAGTACCCAATTACTGCTCCAGTTCATTTGTTGTGAAGTTAAGGAGCAACCAAAATCCCAAACCGATTGAGGGCTGGATTCAAAATACCACTGATAATCAAAAATTTTAATCACAGGCTGATCCAACTTGTTGGAGCCATTCTGTGTATTGCCATGGGTTAGCGCTGTGTGCAGCCACAAGTCTACTTAAGACATGGGGTAATTAGTGCAGGTGTGGTGCACTGCGAGGTGCATGGTTTTTGACCGTGAGGCACGGCGTGTAATTATGGAGACTGACTTGAGTTAAGTTATTATTGAATAAATTGTTATTCTCATTGTTGTTATGTTAATAAATGGATTGGCATATCCGACGTTAAGTTCAGACTTTTGAAAGTTTATTATTTTATTTTATTTAATTATTTTAAGCCAAAAGTAAACAGCACGCCCGAAACACGCGTGCAAAACAACTTAAATGTGCGCCAACACAACTTGCGTGACTTTCATCACCGCAACTCTAATGTGACTCAGTAGTGTGTGTGTGTCCCACGTGCCTGTGCGCACGTGCGCTCCTGACAACGCATGGACCCAATGAGACGGCGGATGGTGTCCTGGGTGATCTCCTCCCAGACCTGAATCAGGGCATCAGTGAGTTCCTGGACAGTCTGTGGCATTGCTTTGTTGGTGTCAGATGCACCGATACATAACGTCCCAGAGGTTCTCAATTGGATTCAGGTACCACTGAGTCAACAGACTGCTGAAGAGATAATATACTTTTTAATATCTTGTGATATCATATCCCCACTCCAGTGCTTCAAACTGTTTTTCTCTGACGACATTCTGTAAGTTATTGTATGGCAGTCAAATCTATGTACATAGGCTAAGCACAAACTGTCCGTGGCTTGTCTCTGGCAGTTCTAACAGCCTACTCTGTGAAGAGCAGAGGCATAGTGCTAGGGCCCTTGACTTACACAAAGTGTATGCCACCTGCTGGACAAATGCACACTACACTAATGTGCTCTAATAAAATTAATGGGGTTTTGTTAAAAAATAGGCAACATTGCTATTATGGAGCAAATTACACAATCAGCCATCTTTCCAGACTGCATGGGTTAGCAAGAGCAGAAAGGGACCGCAGCATACATAGTACGTATATATTAAACTGAATTACAAAGGCACACATTAGCAGCCAAACAAGAAAAGGGGTTAGGCAATTATTCAGCACTTAAGTTATCATGCACGTGAATATAAATAAGTTCCACACAGCATTAGGTGCATATTAGATGATGTACACGTTCTGACATATTTCATCTCTTATTTTGAAAGTCATATTGAAGGGACTTGACAACACATAAAGCCATACCCCTGATTGGCTTTGTGGGGATGTCAGGTTGGTACCACAGAGTCATCTTTCTGACAGAATTGCTCTGCTTACAGATTTAATCAGTCTCAAGGTGCCCAACCAACTTCAGTGGTCAGAGGAGGCAAACAATGTCTTCATGCATATCCAGCAGGCCTTGAGAGGACATCCTATGTTGCACTTCTCTGACTTTTACAAACCTACATCTTGTTTCCTTATACCTATAAGAGATAATAAAGAAGCATCAGGGAACAAGGGCCTGCCTGGTGGAAAGCTCAACAGCTGCTCTGGATGGCCCTCAGATGTCTTTCTGTAACAACTCTAAACATTCACTGGTGAATTGATCATCTTGTTGATAATTCTGAATGCTCAATGCAAATTACATTTGATTCTAACAGAAGGTTAGCTCCATGGTATAACCCCCAGACTTGCAAATTTAAGCAAACATCATGAACACTTAAAAGGAAATGGCACTCCACTAATCAGGAAGCAGGTAGGTGGACAGACATTTTGTTTTGGTATATTTTCTTCTATGTCTTCTTTTACTCTAATGGAAAGAACACTACAAAAATCAAATTTGGATGGTGTTTGTTTTATGCCTACAACCCTCCATCTGTTTGCATCTGAAGATTTCTTCTGAATTAACCAAAACAAGCTAGTCTGCATATTTAAACATAACATTTCAGGGAAAAGACTCTTGATGTAAGTCTTTAACTGAGGAAGTTCTGTGGTGATAAACTTTACTTATTTTGTTTATCCCATTTGCCTGCAGTGCCAAATGTATGCAAATTAGAGCATTTTAATGAGTTAACGCCAATTTTGCATAACAATGTGGTGATTGTGATGTTTTAGACACAAATTTGACTGTGTTCACCTGTAATGTGTCGATTAAGTTCAGTACATTAGCCAATTTTTGATTCAGAGGACAATATAAATTTCCTCTCAAGGTCAAACAGTTCAGAGACAGTATTTATTTATTGATTTAAGTATGAAATCTCCACATGATGGAGATTTCTGAATAAGCAGGTGAACAATGAAATGTTGAATTGAAGTGTCAGAGGTCATATACCTGATCTGTTTCAAATTGTAAAGGCTATGAGACCTCTTAGACTAGCTCTAATGAGAGAGGTCCTCTTATGCATAAAATAAGGCCATCTATTGGTATTCAGATGTAACTACAACTCTTTACAATTTGAGAACTGCCAAGGCATCATTTGCAGTAGTTTGTCGTTATGTTTATATAACATCACAATCTACCCTAGTATAATAAATCAAGACAGGAAAAACACAATAAATAGGATTAAATACAAATGCGTTTGATCAATCCATCAGTGGCTTAAATACTGCTATGAGTAGAAACAGAATTGTATCCTACAGTAAGCAGCACACCATAACATAAAACATTTCTGCTATCAGTTTTTGATATTGGTTCCATGTCTTTCCTCATAAGTTTAACGGGACAAAAATTGGGTTTTTTTTGTGCAAAACTTTATAGGAATAGGCCTAGCCTAATATGGGGAAACTGCGTGCCTCTTTCTGTCAACTCCATTGACCTGTATAATGATTGCATAGTGATAAACGTCCCTTTGCAGATCACATCTGGCAACCCCTGCCAACAGCTATTGATCTTTTTTAACATGCATTTTAAAGTAAGCACGTCGTTTTTAAAACCTCATCATGTCATGCAGTTTGAACTTTTTACTCGCCATTAAACCTGATTCGTTCCAGTTTATAAGCCCGCCACCACCACTCCTCAGACTTTCCAAATAAAACGGATCCAGCTGTGTGCGGCTGTGCGCCCTCCGTGCGTCACACTTTTCTGCTGCTCTGTAGACTGGCAGACAGCAGCTGCTAAGAGGAGGAAGAGAAGGAAAGATGTCCGGTATCATGCTACTGTCGGTATCTTTGACTTTGTGCTTCTCGTGGGCGAACGGCGGCACCGCGCGGAGCGGGGCAGTGATCCTGCAGGACACCCTGGAGCGGGTCCCGGTCAGTCTGAACGACATGTTCCGAGAGGTGGAGGAGTTGATGGAGGACACCCAGCACATACTGGAGGAGGCTGTGGACCAGGTCTGCGTCATATTTTATTCATTCATACAAGTTGTATATTTCAGTGGAGAGAGTGACAGAGAGCTCAAACAACTTGCCATCCATCTAGTGTTTGTAACAGTGGAAACAATCCGTGTCAGTCACATCACGTTAAACTGTTTTGGTGGTCAGCTTAATTGTGACGACCAGGCTTAGGTATGTGTTGCAACACTACACAGTTTCCATGTCTGCTTTATGTTTGACACACCACGTAGGAATACTATTAATAGACTTCACTATCATAATAGAAGCTGCTCAAAATGGATATTGTCCAGTTAATTAAATTAAAGAAAAGGTATGGCAATAATCCCATATAGCCTATGTATGTAACTGAGAAGGTCTGTCATTTCCCCCTGGAATTGGATTTCAACTGGTCTAATAAGACTGCAGACAGTGTCTGGTTTTGATCATTTGTGAACTACTGGGAAGTTTTCCCTTCATGCCATCCAAGAAATTGGGATTTATATCATCCAGAGCAGGCTGTTTAACAAGAAACTGTCCACAGTTGTAGCCACCTTGAGGATTCATACCCCTCCTTCCCCGCATGGAATTAATGTATGGACATAATGGAAATGCCACGTACACCATTTTATATAAGATTTATGAATGGATTCCACATGTGTGCTAACATTTAATCCGACAGATAACTACTGAGAGTGCTAAATCATCTTTAACGTCACTGGATCTGCGTCCTAACTACCACAATGAGACGAAGAAGATGATAAAGGATGGCAACAGAGCCGTTCAGGTCCTAGACAGAGCTGAAAAGGTAAGGGTTAACTTTTGACAATATGGCAAAATATGTAACTCTCAGACAAAATCCTTCCATCTTTCAAAGGGTGTATTTTTTATAAATCCTTTTACATTTTTGAGAGGGTCTAAGAATGGGCTGTAGTGAAACATATAAAGAACACAAAGACTGTGATTGTTTTTTAAGTGATTTAGAATGTTAATGTATTTCTCACCTTTTCCTGACACATGAATATTACATAAATATCTGTTTGAGGTCTGATACAAATGACCACATTTTTATCATTCATAGGAGACTAATAATAAAACAGGAGAGATCAATCTTTCACAAATCCATATGGAGATTTCTGGCCAGTGGAACAGTGTGGATCACGTAAGTTTTTTGCCTTCCCTGTCTGGTCTGTGTGAGTAATTAGAAGACTCTAGGCATTGCATTCAGGCCTACGTTTCCTGATAATTTGGTTTCACTCCATCCTGATGCCTATTGATTAGAAATAACACAAATAGCTGATCGAGATTTAGCTGTCATGAGAATGGGCTTTTTGAGTAAATAGCAGTGTAACGCATTGTATCTACTTGTCCAACTGATGTCCTTCTGACTCAGGATTCCGGAAATGTGTGTTTTGTTTTCCGGGAGAAAAGCAAAATCTGACTGCCCCAGTTTTAAACCAAATGTTTCTCTTTTAGCAGTAATGACTCTCTAAAGGCAGCCTGCTGGAGATACAGATAAAGGTGGGAGTCGTCATTGTGTTTTATCACATTCCAGTGAGCATTAGTCACGTGTTATTTTTTAAAACTGTGTCAACTTATTCAGAGCACTTTATTTAAATGTAATGTTTCTACATTAACTTTTTCCCTCAGTTTTGTAAATATTCATAGTGTCTGTAAAAAGAGACAGAGAGGTGGAGTGCTCTCTAAAACTGTGGCTGTATTGTCTCAACTCGTTTTATAAAGAATGACATCATCCAGCACACAGACCAGAACATATACTTTTCATAGTTTTAGCCAACAAGAGGCAGCTTGGATTGGGGTCATTATTGCTGCTTGCTGCCTGGATGCCATTTTACTTTACAATGGTGGTTTTGATCTTTTGCTTTCCTGGCAGCTGTACAGAAAGTGGTTATGTTAATAGAGCTTGCAGCTGGAAAAAAAATACCAGGGAAGCAAGTAAGCCTGCAAGCCAGGCAGGGTAAGGTCTGCTCCTCTAAAATGACTAACTATAGAAATTTCACCCTGTACATGGAGTCACAATTGAATTACACTGAAGGAACTCACTATAAAGTTAGTTGACTTGACACTTCATAGAAAATACCTGGTAAACCTTTATTTCCTGTGATTCTAAGATGAAAAGACAGTATACGCTAAAAATGTGATTGAAATGTTAATGCTTTATAGATGTCTGTAGGTAGCCAGTGCGTACTGTTATTATGGTGGCTGGTTAGTTTCCAGAAAGTGATTGTTCTTAAACAAATGTTCCTATGAAATGCTAGTTGTTCTCAAAGGCACCTTATAAGCTACAAATTGAATTCCACTTCCTATTATACCTTCCTGTAGGTTTCAAACTCTCACAAGAGCCGTGTGTACATTACATAAATCTGAACGTTCTGACATGTTGTACAAATTCAGAATGCTTCACAACTTGTGTGAACTGGACAACAGGAGCAGGACTCAAATGCAGGAGATCAATGATTTATTTAAATACAACCAGACATGGTTCCAGCATGGCTGATTAGGGAATGAGATGCAGGTGAGGGGGTAGATGGGGAACACCAGGCAATTGCAGAGAAGTTGAGGGAAGTGGGAACAGGTGTGAAGATGGGTGGGACAGTCACATGATGGGGAAATGAGGGAAAGTGGTCAGCTGGTGGATGGAAGGGAAAGGGGATTGAAGGGTCTTGGGGAAATAGAAATGTGGCTGGAGAGGAATGACAGGGAGACAAACTGTGACAGATTGCCCAGTGTTACAAATGTATTTTCCTGTATTTAGAAAATACAAAATACATGCATTTTATCTTTAAAGATTTCTGGCACCAGTATTTTGTATTTTATTGATACATTTATTTGAAGGGTATTTTGTACTTTGTAACAAGATACATTTTGAAGTGTCTTTTCCTATCCCTGTCCACAGTGTGCGCTGACCACTGCTGTGTTGTGCACTAGCTTAGCCAATGAACCACCAGCGAAGAAGAGAGCGCGTGGACTGGCATAATCTATAGAAATACATTTGTTGCTTTTTTCATATATAAATAAAATTAGTAATATAATTTGTTAGAAGGGGGGGCGGGGGGGGGGGTGTAGCATTGTAGTACTGACTATTTTCCCCTGCATGTAGAGTGTCTGTGATGGATTACAGCCAAACCTATAGCAATTACAACTAGCTTAAAGTAGCTGGAAGAAATTGTGCTAAATGTGGTCTAATTGTGGCCTGACAAATTATCTCCAATGGGCTCAGTCCTTTAACTGGCGGTGTTCAATGCCTTTTATGACAAATCAAAATAATTTATGTGCAAAACAACGGCATAAGTGTTGGTTGGTTAGTTGGTTGATTTGACCGCTCAGTGAGTGGACTATGTTACTGTTCTTTCTCCTTTTCTTTTTTGCAAAGTAATTTGTGGAAAATCTTTTTAAAGAAAGGTTTAAGTTGCTGCTAGACATATGAGGCTAATAACAGTTGAAGTCATCTGGCATGTATTAAGGTAATTGCAGGGTAGGTAGGTAGTATGGTCCTCTGTAGTTTCCAGTATGTTTTGGTTGCCTTAATCACATGTTATCTCACGGCAAATGCTATAGAAAAAAAAAACATCCATATATTTGCAAATATGTGCATATTGACATCAGCACAGGTTTATTATTATTACTACGCTGCTCAAAAAAATAAAGGGAACACTAAAATAACACATCCTAGATCTGAATGAATGAAATAATCTCATTAAATACTCCTTTCTTTACATAGTTGAATGTGCTGACAATAAAATCACACAAAAATTATCAATGGAAATCTGATAATGGATCTGGATTTGGAGTCACACTCAAAATCAAAGTGGAAAACCACACTACAGGCAGATCCAACTTTGATGTAATGTCCTTAAAACAAGTCAAAATGAGGCTCAGTAGTGTGTGTGGCCTCCACGTGCCTGTATGACCTCCCTACAACGCCTGGGCATGCTCCTGATGAGGTGGCGGATGGTCTCCTGAGGGATCTCCTCCCAGACCTGGACTAAAGCATCCGCCAACCACCAACAGTCTGTGGTGCAACGTGGCGTTGGTGGATGGAGCGAGACATGATGTCCCAGATGTGCTCAATTGTTTCAGGTCTGGGGAACGGGCGGGCCGGTCCATAGCATCAATGCCTTCCTCTTGCAGGAACTGCTGACACACTCCAGCCACATGAGGTCTAGCATTGTGTTGCATTAGGAAGAACCCAGGGCCAACCGCACCAGCATATGGTCTCACAAGGGGTCTGAGGATCTCATCTCGGTACCTAATGGCAGTCAGGCTACCTCTGGCGAGCACATGGAGGGCTGTGCAGCCCCCCAAAGAAATTCCACCCCACACCATTACTACCGCCAAACCGGTCATGCTGGAGGATGTTGCAGGCAGCAGAACGTTCTCCACGCCAGTCTCTCCACGGCGTCTCCAGACTCTGTCACGTCTGTCACATGTGCTCAGTGTGAACCTGCTTTCATCTGTGAAGAGCACAGGGCGCCAGTGGCGAATTTGCCAATCTTGGTGTTCTCTGGCAAATGCCAAACGTCCTGCACGGTGTTGGGCTGTAAGCACAACCCCCACCTGTGGACGTCGGGCCCTCATGCCACCCTCATGGAGTCTGTTTCTGACCGTTTGAGCAGACACATGCACATTTGTGGCCTGCTGGAGGTCATTTTGCAGGGCTCTGGCAGCAGTGCTGCTCCTCCTTGCACAAAGGCGGAGGTAGCGGTCCTGCTGCTGGGTTGTTGCCCTCCTACGGCCTCCTCCATGTCTCCTGATGTACTGGCCTGTCTCCTGGTAGCGCCTCCATGCTCTGGACACTACGCTGACAGACACAGCAAACCTTCTTGCCACAGCTCGCATTGATGTGCCATCCTGGATGAGCTGCACTAGCTGAGCCACTTGTGTGGGTTGTAGACTCCGTCTCATGCTACCACTAGAGTGAAAGCACCGCCAGCATTCAAAAGTGACCAAAACATCAGCCAGGAAGCATAGAAACTGAGAAGGGGTCTGTGGTCACCACCTGCAGAACCACTCCTTTATTGGGGGTGTCTTGCTAATTGCCTATAATTTCCACCTGTTGTCTATTCCATTTGCGCATGTGAAATTGATTGTCAATCAGTGTTGCTTCCTAAGTGGACAGTTTGATTTCACAGGAGTGTGATTGACTTGAAGTTACATTGTGTTGTTTAAGTGTTCCCTTTATTTTTTTGAGCAGTGTATATTTACATATTTTCCATGTTATTTCCACTGAAAAGACCATGTGTTCAGAAGGGGAGGAAGTTGTCTTTGAGGTGGGACTGAGCAGAAAGGAAGATTTTACCATCAGAGACGCATAGTTACATAGTGAGCAGAGAACTAGATGCACTTGCTAGCAGATATGCTTTGTGTCTATCATTATGAGTAATCGTGCTTAATAACACAGATTCTGCTGTCAGGCTCTTGATCCTGTCTCTGCCTTCGACACAGTCAAGTCAGCCTCCGTGATGCATGCTGTTTCAGATACTTTGCTTTTCTCTTTGCTGATTTCCCATGGGCAGCACACACAAGATAAAGACCAAAAAAATGGTGAATTAACAGCTGACCAGCACTGTTTTTGGCAGACGCTGTTTCCTCTGACCACTGGAAAAGAGTCAAGCTAAATATCAAATATCTGATTAGCATTCCAAAACCAGTCTCACATTTGTCCTTCTTTGCCATGTACCAAGAAATGTTTTATCAACAACCAAGGAAAGAAATAAAGTGTGGAGCAAGAAAGGGAGAAGAGAACACTCTTGAGATGTAGCCGTTCTGTATAATTCAGATGTTACTGATATCATCCATCACGTAGTTTCCATGGAGATGGACTATGGCTGGCAGAAACATTCATTAAATTGGGGTGTAGTGGACAACTGTGATACAGGAAAATGTTGATTAAATGAACACAAATCCTGTTCTACATTCTAGTTCAATCCGTTTTTTAATTACTGACTATGTGTGTAACTTGTTATCTTTCAACCCAGGAATGCATGGTGAATGAGGACTGTGGTGACCTGAAATACTGCCTGTATGAGATAAAAAACTCCAGATGCCTCCCCTGCATAGTAACAGATATGGTGAGGATTGTGTCAGTGATGTCTATTGTGGTTATTTGTTTAGTTAAAGCAATGGATCAAATGACAAGGTCAAAGGTGTTGCTCATAGTGACGAACCACCAGTCTACAACAGTCTACAGACTGTTTCGGTGTCTTTCAGCTAATTGTTTTAGTTTTATGACTCAGCTTTGTTGTTTAGTCATCACTCGCTTCCAGCTACAGCAAGTAGCTGTTTTCAGCTGATCAACTCAGACTGTACTTTACCACCTACCAAGTATCAAGACAAAATAAGAGTGCTTTCACACCTCAACCAGTCAAAACGAACCCCGGTGCATTTGCTCGGTTAGTACGGTTTGTTTGGACTGTTGTTAAATATGTCTATCGTCAGCACAGGTATTTTTCTTGATTAATAGGTCGAAAGCTGTCAAAAATGTAATGCCTGTACTCCTTGTCCTTCATTAAGTCAGTTAGGTCGCACTCCTCTGGAGCAATGAGGGGTTAATTGTCTTGGTCAGGGACACAATGGTGAAAAGGTCACAGTGGGATTCGTCCACTGCGACATCACCACCCCATATAGACATACAAGATATACACATCAGAATACATCATCACCCTCTTTCATCTCTGTTCTGTAAAGCAACCCATTACTGCTGCAAAATGAAAAATTAAGTGTAGCGGCTACCAATTTAATCAATATTAAGTCATAGAAATATGCATTATCATGACAAAGTGTCTCAAAACAATGCAAAAAATAATATAACAATGCTAGTAAAATTGTTAATCCTGTACAGTGAAGCAGCATTAAATATCATAAATATTGCATTGTTAAATAGCTGCACATAGTGCCTATTACAGGAACTTCTAAAAAGGATCCATGAAAGAATGTGGCAACTAACCATGTGTGCTTTACATACTTGTTTGCATATCTGAATGTGTGTCCCCACCTAGCCCTGCACTAAGGATGAGGAGTGTTGCTCAGATCAGATGTGTGTTTGGGGCCAGTGTACGGTCAACGCTACCAAAGGAACAGAGGGAACCATCTGTCAGGGTCAGAGTGACTGCAGGTCGGACCTCTGCTGTGCCTTTCAAAGAGGTGAGCTTTAACAGTGACACCACCAGAGAAAAACCCGGAAACACAAAACAAAACTGACCTACCTAACCTGTTTCTGTATGCAGAGTAACGGTATGTACATGCTGCAAGATATGTCTGTTTTTTCCCTGTTCTTTCTCTCATTTTGATCTATTGCACCACTATAGTATTATAGTGTACTATATTTTATAGCAGCACAGTTTTATCATCTGTTGCCTCTCTTATGCTGATTGTTTTTACATTGCTTAAAAATGTTCTCCTACAATTTGTTGTTACAAGGTAGATTTATTTAGAATATTACAACACAGGGTTGTACAACGAGATGAAGTTGTAGTTCCCTTAATGCTACTCATGATAAGCAAAAAATATACAGTAGGTAGATTTATTTTGTCACAATGTAACAATGTAATGGTTATAGAGTGAAATTGACTTTGTATCTCCCTTCTGCTACATAGCAGACACAATACATTAATAGAGAAGAAATTATAAAAATGTTAAAGTGCTGAGGATGAATTTGAGCTTAAGAGTCTGTTAGCTTGGGGGGAAATGCTGCTCTGTAGTCTGGTAGTACGACAGTAGATACTTCTGTATCTTTTCTCAGAAGGCAGCAGGGTGAACAGGCTGTGGCTGGGTGGGTACTGTCTTTTTGTATCCTTTGGGCTCTGCACAGGCACCTCACCTCACCAATATGACTGATGCTCGGGAGATCGGTACCAATGATCTTCAGGAGGCTTTCTATTGCCCCTTCATAAAAGTTGACAAGAACATGGCACAGAAATTTTGCCTTCTTAAGATTCCTTAAGAAATACAGCTGATAGATTTTGAGCTTTCTTCACCAGCGTGGAGATGTGAGACAGCCATGTCAGGTTCTCTGTGATGCTGATTCCCAGGAACCTGAAACTGTTCACCTGCTCCGCCTCAGCTCCACTGATGTAGACAGGATTGTGTGTCTTTATCTCCTTCTTCCTGAAATCAACGATCTGCTCTCTACAATTACTACTCTTATATTGAAGAGAATCTGGGTCTACTAACTAACACATTTAAATTACTAAATACATATTTTTCTCACTGACCTCTAGACATAACCAGCCACTATGGAAGCTTTTATTTGCCCAGTTTTGTAGGTGTCTATGTCTGCCCCAATGCAGTGGAGGTGAATGAAATGTTTGTGCCTCTTAAATTAAATATATTTTAAAAAATATACAACAGTCATATGTCTTTTCAAAGCCAGTGTTCTGGTTACTCAGATTAATCCCTTAACGCTGATTGTCACAAATTCGCATCATACCTCTTCCTTTCAGACTGCAGCTGAGATAGCATTTGTATTCCCCAAATGCCTGTTTATGCATATTCGATACGTACCTTGGAACCTTTTGCAATCACTGGTTTCTCGTTTATGCCTCTTGTCACTAATTTGCATCATACCTACATCATACCTGAATTTATATCTTTTTAATGTTCTATAGTCAAATTAACAATTTCCACTTAATTTAACATCAACCTGAAAGCAAATGAAAACACTATTTTTTTTTATTGTAAATAAATTCAGGCATCAAGGGGTTAAAACCTCATAATCAACAGTTTACACTGGATCTGATTTCTATTGAAAAAAATGTCCACATGAAAACTTTTAACAGGGTGGGCTATGGATTAGATTCATAGTAACGGACACCTCGGTCCATAAAACCAAAATGTCAGAGTGTCCTGGAGTACACCTGAACCTCACTGCAGCAGGGCGAGATGTTAGATCAATTGTGGTCAGCAAAAATCAAATCTTTGCAAGGTGTTAAGTTGCGCTTATAGTTTTTTTTTCTTATCTGTCCAGCTTTGATGAAACTACAGTCAAACATAGTGTATAGCCTCATAAATATACAGCACATGGCCAAATATACTGTATAAAAGCCATCCAGTCTCAAATGGAAACGGTAATGAAAACATTACTAGCTGCTATACCCAATTACAGCTGAATGATTACCATGGAAGCACTACGAGTGGAAGAAACATTTGTACACTCTCATGTTGACAGTCAAAACCAAATTGCATATAATACTAATAATCTGTGGTGGTTCATATAAATACATTCCAAATTTGCTACTTTTTCACCTTTAAGCCATTTCTAAACAGTTGTTCCAAAAAGATTAAAACAAAACGACATGGAGACATCCATGGGAAAATGCTCTTTGTGTGAGACTAGTCTTTATGTCTGTGAACCTGGGCCTGAGGATCTGAAATGGGCTTTCATATATTTGGCTTGTGTGTCACAACAAGAACTGGGCAGTGATTGTGATCAGCAGTGATACAGTGTCCACTGTGGCTGAACAGGCAAAGTAAAGACAGTTTTGGACAAAAATTATTTTTCTCTCTGCTGCTTTCTCCAGAACTGTTGTTTCCAGTCTGTAACCCCAAACCAGAGAAAGGGGAGTCCTGTCTGAGCCACCCCAACCTGCTGATGGACATGCTGGCCTGGGACCAGGAGGGTCCCCGTGACCACTGCCCCTGTGCTGACGACCTCCATTGCCAACCTCACGGGTGAGAGTGGACATAGTGTACATTTACAATTTTTTTTCAAATTGAAATAAAATCTTACTGTTGAAAATCTGTAACATACATCAGACAGCATAATGTGTGTGTGTGTGTGTGTGTGTATATATATTTTCTCTCTCACAGACGTGGATCTGTCTGTGGAGAGTAGCACTGGAGATGGAGAGAGCACGAGGAAGTTATACAAAACTCTGTCCAGGAGCTATACTTAACATAACCTTCACCAAAGAATGGCCCTGCTGATCAACTGTTTATAAAAGAAAAGGATGTTGCTTCAGGACAGGACTTGCACTGTATTATTTATGCCTTACAACCAATGTGTATTGCATATCATGACGGAAATAAAAGACTTGCATTGAGTTTTGACTAAGAACAAAGTAAAGTACTATTGTGGTATTTTCAGATTCACAGATGGGCTTAATTTATTGTCTTGCTCAGTGGATGAAAACAGCAGCATAATATAGCATGGACCACTAGAGGTCACTAGACTTTTATCTATTTTCTGTGTCAGGAAGTGTTACCCAGAAATAACACCAGGAAATATTCAGGATGAGGCTCATAGCCACATGATTGAAGTGCAGACTCTCTCTCTCTCTGTCACACACACAAATAGTACAACTGTAGAAAACTGCTGACTTGCATATGAAGTTAGATTTTGGATTCATGTTCTTCCACACAGAGACTTGATATCTAAAGGCTTCTGTCAACACTGTAACGCAAAATGAATCTTCTTTTATCTTTCAAGTTTTACATTTTTGTTTTTATTAATCTTGTTTCTTCACATATATTTTAAATAGACAGGTTTGTATTTGCATTGGAACCCCTTTGCTTATAAAGCAAAATGTCTAAACAACATTTACTGTGTAAAAAAAAACAAAGATCCTGTACTTCTGCTAAAATTGCTCATACCCTCCTCCAGCATATGGACACCAGTGCAAAGAACTTGGGAAGTGGGAGAAGCAGAAAGTTTAAGAAGTATGTTTCCTACTGCAAACAAATGAATTCTCTTGAATTACTTCATTAGTGCAGATTTAGGTTAGTTATTAAATTGTTAAACCTGTTTAACCTTTGTTCCCAACAAATCATGCTGTTTCTGTTTACCACTGTACCCATGAGCCTCATTCTCCTTTTCTATAGTGAAGACACCAGCCAGAGCTGTAAATTAATTAAAGTTCTTTTAAGGTTTTCATTGCGATCAGGAACTATAGTTTTCATCCAAAATGTATCCAAATCCAAATGTAAATTTGTACATTTTATCCAACAGGTTTTGTGCATCTCAGTATGCTGGCTCAATGTTTAAAAGGTCCTGATTTTTAGATCCTTATTGTGTGGGAACGCATTGTGCTTAGGTGGCTTTCCTCTGGATGTGCTGGTTTTCTCCTGCATATACTGTACAGTCATTTACAACTGTAGGCAAATGCACTGGGGCCTCACATGTCACAAGTTCAGTACAAGTCACTTGGTTTTAGTAATTTGCACACTTGTAAAGGATTTCTTTGCACAAATCATCTAAGGCAGTTTTGGCATTATTGTCTTTTAGCTAAGCCCTGTGTCAAAATAAAATTTTAAGGTGTCATTTTTGGGCCAGTTTATTTCAGCAAAGGAGTGCTGGTTTTGTTTCTGGGCCTCTGTATAAAACATTTCACAGACGGCTGAGGAGGTCAAGGGGGGCTCATCAGCAAATATTTACACAGGCGCCCCTAACAGGTTAATGTAATGTGGCTATAACTACCCCTGATGAAGACACTGATACCACAAATGAAGTGGAGATGTGACAGGTCATGTGCAGAGGATTACGTCTGCCAATAGTATTACTCTAATTTCTGAGAGTAATACTGAACACAGTGATAATTAAAGGATGGTAAATGATACATGTTTTAGTGTAACTGTAGCACAAGTAGAGATAAGAGGCATAGAGCAAAGTGACTGAATAATGTAAGTTAGCAATATCTAAGTTATCAAAAGTTTGCTAATATGATGAAGCTATGGTCATACCAGACCAAGTAGGCTAAGGCTGTAGTAGCAAAGCAAACCCCCTAAATTTCATTTATACAGGTAACATGTTATGTTATGTTTTTGACTCATAACTAACCCTAACTTTGACATATTCACTGCACATTGTTGATCACCTGACTAAATGTGGAGAGCTTCATACCCACCGAGACTTTTTAAATCCCAGTGAGTGCCAGTGGTCCCCTGACGCAGTTTCTATTAAGTCGACCTGAAGTCCGGAGGAGTGAGCCCTCCCTCTTCAGCCTATCTGTGCCGGACCCGCTGACGTCACGGCGGTTCATTTATCACGCTGCTGGCTTCCTGCTGAGTCTCCACTCTGTCGGTTGTAGCAGTAGATGCAGCTGCTCCGCCACGCAACAGACTCCCAAGTTCAAGAGACGACCACACGTCGACATTTCGGGTAAGTACACCCTTCGCATTACGTCCACGGGCCGTACCAGCTCTGTGCGTACTGAACCGTGGAGCTCATTGCCGGCTTTCAAAGCGCTAACTGGTGGTGTGACTGCGTGTTGGAAGAGATGCGCCAAGAGGAGGGAGGGGTGGCTTATAACAACTGTACGCTAGTGTCGAAGATACGCAGATACAAGTCAAGTTATACAAGGCGTTTACTGTATACTCGCAATACCCCTCCCTTCTTCCCCACTGCACCCCCTTCACCACCATGGAGCTCTTGTGTTCAGAAAAATCTTAATTCTCAATGGTTCTTTTCCTTTTTCTTTCCCGCCCCCACTGGTAGTTTGAGCACACGAGGAAGACTGGCTGCTCTAGCAGCATAGGAGGCACTTTTAATTTAAGGCGAGGGTTTAGCTGAGCGGCCTCACTTTTAATATACTCCCAGGCTTTGCGGTAGTCACATTAAAGGCTGCCAAGCCAAACAGTCGGTGTAGTTTGAAGCGTCGCCCACTGTGCAAATGGGCGGCGAGTGGTTACTGATAATAATGTGTGTAATGAGAATCACGGGATCTGCTGCCTTCGTGTTTGCCTGTTAGGTTAAAGTCTGGTTTGCTCGCTCTGATATGCCTCTTTTAACACGCATCTGCTTTGCCCAAATGCATCGGATTATTACGGTTAACGTGCGTGGTGTGCAGGCAGTTCCTCCTCAGGTATAAGATAACTGACAGTAAAGTGTGGATGTCAAGAAGACAAAGGGTAAGTTACTGAAGCACACCGATTAATTCACAACATCGAATAGTGCAAAGAGACCAATGTTGACACTGTGTCTTTATCACAGTCAAAATGGACTCAGGCATGAGGCAAACACCCTATATAGTCAGTCTGACCCAGATGTACAGTTGTCATTGGATAACTGTGATTGAACAGGGTTTCATACTTTTGGTTATTAATCCACGAAGTCAACAAATTGTGACAGTAAGACTGAATACTTGCCACAATTGGGTGGGGGGGGTTCCTTAACTGTAGCAACACAAATGTTGTCTATATGCTAAATGTTCCTGTGGTCTGGTTTTGTCAGACAAAGAATTTTAAAGATTTGCATATTTGAACATAAGAATGCAATACGTACTGAAAACACAGCAATATGCCATTTTTCAACAACATTTATGAACAGACTAACCACAGTTCTGCATCATCATCAGAGTTCTGGGCAATAGGGGAAAAAAATACTTAAGGTGGCGACATCAAGTTACTGCTTGGTAAATTGGCCTCACTCTCTGAACACACTTATTGCACAAATGAAGAACTGAATTTGTCATGTTTCCTCAAATTTTTATTCAAAGGATGTTTGTACATATCTTTAAAAAGTCTCTGCTAGGGTGGCACTTTGACACAGACTATGGCAACTCCCACCCTCAGATTCCTTATCCAGATATTTAAACTCTGTTGGTTTAGTTTGACTATATATGTTGTTTCCCTCATGCATATGTCTGTTTTGAATGAAGACACAGAAGTGTTGAAACGGTTGTGCTATTGAGAAGCACCTGATCAGCTGCATTTAGCTGGAAGCTGCATGGAGAAATGCTTCTACTAGTAAAATGTAAATGTGTGTAATCTAACATTTCTGATGTGTGGTGGACTTGATACTACTGGATATAGATTGCTTTTCATTATCAGTTGTTAGAACATTGGCGTGTAAATGCTTCACAAACTCATCCAGATCTCTTCTGAGTACATTAGAGGAAAAACAGTCTGTCCTCAGAGGTCTGGCTATTTAGTGACTGGCAGGCAGGCAGGCACACTTTTGGCCTTGCATCAATGTATTTAATCTGCTGGATGAATTTTTCCTGTAGGTGCAGGGATGACTTAAGTAGAAGAGATGAGAGCCAGCACTTGTGTGTTTTGCGTGACTTTGAGATTTAAGTGACTGTCTTCGCAACAAAGGCTGGAAACCTTTTGAAAAACTTTACTAATGGTGCGTTCAGAGTAAAAGCGAAGTGAGCATTTCCTGTCGGGCGGCACGAAGGGGGCGGGGCCGGCAACGCGAAGGAATTTGCGTGACCCTGAGTCGCGATAGCCTATCAACGCTGAGATTGTCCCTACGTCACCGACTGCTTCAGAGCGTTGTGTGGAGATGGCCGGGCAGAGCGGGGGATTGAAGAGCTGCTAAACTTGCGCGAGAGGAGCAGCGCTCTAGCTTTCGGACAAACACCTGTGGTCAGACTGGATTATGCTCTGACAACTACGCCGTTTCCTCAAGGGAGGAGCTCAGAGTAAACTGATTTTTATTAAATTAGCTTTTTACTTTAGTTTTTGGGATTACAACGTTGATTTATCTTCACTCGAGCTTCTTAGCAGCTAGATTCCGTGCACATCCGGTTCCATTGTTGTTAGCGTCGCTTGGCACTACTTCATATTTATATAAAAAAACAGACAAAACTGGACATTGCTGGGAGAAAAGAAAGCGAGGAGGTTGAACTACCTGGTGAGTTCAGAAAACGTCTGTATGCAACTTTATTCTAGCGATCGTTGTACTTTACTGTGACCAATTTAACATAGCATAGCCCTGATCGGTCCGAACTCCATTCAGAAAACAAACATTTTAGAAGTTGTTGGCTTGCTGACAGACCTGACAAATATGCATCATGTTGTAGTTATTTTGGCATCAGTTTGATCCGTTTATTGCTCTTTAATCAAAGCACAATGTTTACTTTGCGTTTATACAGCTGTAGTAATGGCGAGTTGTGTGTGTTCTTGTTATCGTGTGTGTGAACACCAGGGATGTCAGCAATAAAACCCCCGCGAGTATAGCGTTGCATGGAGTAAATTCGCGTTTGGTCTGAATGCACAGTAAACGTTTTTTTCTTTACTTGGCAATGGGTTTTCACAATTAATCAAGAAGGGTGTTTCCTCCTGACACAGTTTATTGTCAAACCTTAGTTTCATGTTTAACACTTAAACCTCAGCCACAGGGGCTCAATTTAAGCAGTCTAATGCATAATCAATAATTTAGAGTGGAGATGTGGCAGCAGGGATCAACTTGCTGTCTGACTGTAAACTACAGTAGCTCTTTGACAGACACTTGATCAAAGGCCACAGCAGGTTTGTGAGGTTTTTAGCATACAGACAAGGTTTTAGAGTTTCAGTCTTGGCTGATCAGCTTTAAAGGACATCTGTAGTGGACAGAGCCAGGTTCTCCAGTAAGGGAATACTGCAGAGGGAAAGCTGCTTTGACCTGTTATTTTGTCCCAGTTCTGCACCGTTCGCTCTGATGTGTACACAAATGAAGTGACTTAAACAGGACACCGGCTTGGGCTTTTTATAACCTTTTCTTGTTTTTTAATTTTTAGGACAAGATCCAAAAGTTTCCCTCTTTCCTTTTGTAACATCTTGCTGTTCTCAAATATGGACACACTTGATTTTTGTAGACAAGGTGGAGGGAGGAAACATGAGCCTCTGCTTAGTCCTGCCAATGAATGGATCTGCAGCCTGGTCACTCTGGGCTAGTTTCTGTCATTTTAAGTGTACCTCTCAGACACACAGATATGCAAGAAATAAAATACGGTTGTAGTCGCATGTAGATCAAATTGCATACACATCCTGGACAGAAGACAAATTTTTATCTGGTGTTTGCTCATTGCTCTTTATCTTTGTGAAATGAAGCACACATGCACCAATGCTTAACACATGGAAGTTGACAGACACCTGATTAGTCTCATTCTGTCTTGATATTATTGGCATAATCTGTGCAAGACACTATAATTGAGCGGCACCTGGTGTTGTGCAGGACAGCAGACACCCTGACCTCACACTTTCTCTGGAAGGCTTGAACGTAGGGCTGGACGATATGGCCCAAAATATTATCACGATAAAAAGTTTCATGTCTTTCGATATCGATAATTATCGTGATAAGTATCAAGTTCAAAGGCAGATTTTTCTCCTGAGTGAAAGTTGAAGACACCTGACGGTTAATTGTGGGTTTAAGCTTTTTTTTCAGTCCTTTTTTTTTCCTCAACAAAATAAACATTTTATTAAATAAATTAAGTCCTAATTCAGGTATGATTTAAGTGAATCAAACATTTATTGAATATTTACTGAACATTTGTTATATTGTTGAAATTATATTGCAATAATTATTTTATTGTCCAGCCCTATTTGAACGTCCCATGATTGAATACTTGCACATACTGTGGCCTAACAACTTTCAACCTGTGACATTAAACAAGAACACTAGAACCACTTCAGATACCTAGGAACTTTAACTGGATTTTGTTGAAGTACTTTGTCTAAAGTGTGCCTTCACAGACCACAGTTCACGCCACCCAAAGTTCTTTGTCTGAGCTGGTACTGGTCAAACACGCCCCCTTTTTTTTTCTTCACAATTATATATTATTCCAAATTTTAATATCCATTGTGTAAAACACCCTGATAAAGGCCCTGTCTCCATTGGTTGAAGAACAGATTGTTCCACTAAGTCGTTAACATTTATTTTTCTCACCTTAGTTCTACTTTTCAGCACAGCATGAGTGCTGACTGTATATGTAGATAAATGGCCAAATAAATGCACATAGAAGGCATTATTCTCTACAATATTAAAAAATGATGTAACAGCTAAGAGTCCAGACATCAAATCGGATCTTTAGTGAAGAATAATTTCCACTTGTAGGACAATGAGTACCTGAACTAAGCAGAGAAGTCCAAACCGTGTTATTGACTAGCGTTGACTTGCATTTTCTCTTGTCAGGATAATTTTTGTTGGTGAAATGCATTTTAACATGGACTCCCATCCAAACCTTGACTTTTAAGAAATGTTGAGACTAGGGTAGATTTTTCTTGTGCCTTTTATTTTCCTTTTTCTTAGAGTACTGTTCACATTCACAAGCTGCCTACAGGTTTGCTGTAGTCACAGCGGGGTCTGACAGCATACAGCTGGAGCAGGCCACTTGGCACAGGCTGTGATGCAGCAAACTGTACATCTGCAGCATCAGCCAGGCCTGAGCTGGTGTCCAGAGCATAGTGGTAAACGTAGGTGGTAAACAAAGCTACAAGTGCTTTGCATTGTTGAACCAGGACAATAGGAAAATACTCAACATTAAGAAAGTAGCACAAAATAGTCTCTTTTTCACTCAATAGTTTTCTTCACTGTTTGATATTTTGGATATACTGCTGTGTAGGAACAAAAGCGCTGTGATGGCAGAATTCACAGTATTTACTTTTTTCGTTCAGGCTGGTGGTAATGAAGCATGGCTTGCTTTCAACTGTCAGCCAAACGCTTGACACAAGCTGGTCAGAAATGGGAACGGAGACTTGTCTTCCCCTTCTCAAGCTACTTGTTCTCAAAATAAGAATTAAGGTTCATGTAAATTTAACCCCTGACCAACCTGCAATTTTTGAGATGCCCAGTTAACGCTGCACGCTGGTCTGACTGTATGCAAAGCTGAGTAACAGGTTTTACTGTAACAAAATGAGCAGTTATGCTGTTCAAACAGTAGGCTATGACAGAATCCCCATTTAACATTGGATAGCGCTGTAAAGTCTGAGGTAGTTTATATTGGATTATTGTCCAAATAAACATCTGACATGGTTTTTTATATATATTTTTTTTTTGTGTAGTGTAACAGATAATCCCCGATGGTTGTAATTGTGAACTCTTCTGTTTGACTAAAGTATTTGGATTGCAAAGAGGTCTTTGGAAATCCTGTCAGCTGTTGTGACCAACTATCTCATGAGCAGTCTGTCGTGCAGAGAAATGAGTCATTGTTTTGCATGTTGTCATTCAGCAGATAACAGGAGAATGAATAGATAATTAACATTTTTAGTGGCTGTGTTGGATCACTTCAAATGATTGCGGTTTGTTCTTGCATGCCACAATGATTTTGTTGACATTAATAATTCCAGGAGGGTGGTAACATGTTTCAACTCATACACAGAAAAGTTCAGCAGTACTAAGTAGTTATGTAAATAGCTGTTAATGATTAGATAAGTTATCTCCTGAATGGCCGGTTATCATCTATGCAGTGTCAATCATACTTAAACAAACGCAATCTGACTGATAAGGCCAGACACAGTAGTGCATGGAGTCGATGCATCACAATATGATTTACTTTTGCTGTAATGTTTGCCACAGACAGAGGCCCTATCCACACTGCTGCGTTTTCGTTTTAAAACGGAGACTTTTTGCTACGTATGTACCTCTTAAAAATTTAAAATGTAAATTGTATTTCTGTCATGTCTGTGCAGGTGGAGTGGTGCTGAGGGGCTCAGTTAACAGGACTGCAGACATCATGGTGAACATCCCAGAATACTATGTGGGGAAGACTGTGCTGATCACTGGAGCAACAGGATTCATGGGCAAGGTACAACTGAAGTTAAATAGGCAAGTAGCCAGTAGGGCATGACTAAACCCAACATTGTAAGCTACCGGGGGAGTGAAGAGGGAACCTGTTTGTAAACCCTTGGAGAGGATTCTTTTCACTCCGATATGACAGTGATAATGCACACAGGAAGTGTCTACACAAGATTTTAACCTACCACAGCTTGACACTTTAATTGTATGCTGAATTGTGGGTATTATGCAGGCGTTAAGTTGACAGCGTAAGAACATTTCTCAGTTTAACAGCAGATGCATGATGACATTCTTTTTTTTTTTTTCTCTGCACTTGTGACAAAAGCAGGAGGTTACAACTAAAAGAGGTGTGCAGTGCCTAGTGTCAACTAAACAGTCTGAAGAGGAAAATATGATTTTGTATCTCTTACTTGTTTGTTATTAAAGGTGCTGCTGGAGAAGCTCCTGAGGTCCTGCCCAGGAGTCAAATCTGTCTATGTGATGGTCCGGTCAAAAGCCGGTCAGAGCCCTCAGGCCCGCATCGCTGACATGATCAACTGCAAGGTAAGAAGTGGGCTACCGGGGGCGATCTGATCAGTGTCTAGAGGAAGGGGGTGAGGCAGAGGCCTGTTGCACCAGTTACGTGAACTGGGTTATTTTGAGCGTAGTGCAGGAGCTGTGCTGTAATTTGTACCATAGCTCAAAGATGCCACTTAAAACGTACACCTCCCCGAGCAGATGTGTCATTTGTTGGTGGCGACCCAGAAGAAACTCAAATATGGCACTAACATCTTCAAGATGAATGGATAAAATTTGGTCAAAGGTAACTATGACCTCACAACACGTTTTGTCTATAACTAAAGAATTTACTCATAAGAATTTCTCACACGTCTAATATGTATTCCACATGTCAAAGTCAAACTTGCATAATGTTATGAAACCTTTTCTCTCATGCTGTCTTCTCTACTTTTACATGATTTTACAGAGGCCTGTTTCAACTCACTGGAAATTCACTAGAATCATGTCAATATACAGGTGCTGGTCATAATTAAAATATCATCAAAATTGATTTCCGTAATTCCATTCAAAAAGTGAAACTTGTATAATGTATACATTCATTCCACACAGACTGATATATTTCAAATGTTAATTTCATTTAATTCTGGTGATTAAAACTGACAACTAATGAAAATCCAGGTGCCAAGTCCTGTTGGAAAATGAAATCTGCATCTCCATAAAGTTGGTCAGCAGCAGGAAGCATGAAGTGCTCTAAAACTTCCTGGTAGACAAGCTGCGTTGACCTTGGACCTCAGAAAACACAGTGGACCAACACCAGCAGATGACATGGCACCCAAACCATCACTGACTATGGAAACTTTACACTGGACTTCAAGCAATGTGGATTCTGTGCCTCTCCTCTTCCTCCAGACTCTGGGACCTTGATTTCCAAAGGAAATGTAAAATTTAATTCATCAGAGAACATAACTGTGGACCACTCAGCAGCAGTCCAGTCCTTTTTGTCTTTAGCCCAGGCGAGACGCTTCTGACGCTGTGTCTTGTTCAAGAGTGGCTTGACACAAGGAATGCGACAGCTGAAACCCATGTCCTGCATACGTCTGTGCGTGGTGCTTCTTGAAGCACTGACTCCAGCTGCAGTCCACTCTTTGTGAACCTCCCCCACATTTTTGAATGGGTTTTGTTTCACAACCCTCTCCAGGGTGCAGTTATCCCTATTGCTTGTACACTTTTTCCTACCACATCTTTTCCTTCCCTTCGCCTCTCTATTAATGGGCTTGGACACAGAGCTCTGTGAAAAGCCAGCCTCTTTTAGCAATGACCTTTTGTGTCTTGCCCTCCTTGTGAAAAAGGTGTCAATGGTCGTCTTTTGGACAGCTGTCAAGTCAGCAGTCTTCCCCATGATTGTGTAGCCTACAGAACTAGACTGAGACCATTTAAAGGCCTTTGCAGGTGTTTTGAGTTAATTAGCTGATTAGAGTGTGGCACCAGGTGTCTTCAATATTGAACCTTTTCACAATATTCTAATTTTCTGAGATAGTGATTTTGGGGTTTTCATTAGTTGTCAGTTTTAATCATCACAATTAAAAGGAATGAACACTTGAAATATATCAGTCTGTGTAATGAATGTATACATTATACAAGTTTCACTTTTTGAATGGAATTACTGAAATCAACTTTTTGATATTCTAATTAAATGACCAGCACCTGTACTTTTCATGTTCATACTTTTCAGTTGGCCAACATTTCTAAAAATCCTTTTTTTTTTTTTTTTTTTGTATTGGTCTTAAGTAATATTCTAATTTTCAGGGATACTGAATTTGGGATTTTCATTAGTTGTCAGTTTTAATCATCACAATTAAATGAAATAAACATTTGAAATATCAGTCTGTGTGGAATGAATGAATATAATATCAAAGTTTCAGTTTTTGAATGGAATTACTGAAATCAACTTTTTGATAATCTAATCATATGACCAGCACCTGTAGTGACTATTTCTATTTTACTTTGGTTATTAGTTGGCTTAGTAAAGTTATAGCACAGGTTTATAAAAAATTAATGTTTACTTCTGAAACCTACCATGATTGCGGTGCAACAGGCTTATTTTAAAGATTAGGTTGCGCCTCTTACCTAGAAACTGAGGTAGGAAGGAGGAATAGAAAGTGACTCATGCTACCAACAGTAAGCAAGGGAATGGAAGCATGTATTCTGAAATTTTAAACTGTACACTACGAGTCCAATGAAAGGCATACTGACTTGATTTCCCCACTCAGTTGTTTGAAAGATTGCAAGACGAGCAGCCAGGCTTTGCCGAGAAGATCGTAGCAGTGAACAGTGACCTCACACAGCCAGAGCTGGATCTGAGTAAAGAGGATCAGAGCATCTTGGTTGAAAACATTAACATCGTTTTCCACTGTGCCGCTACCATCCGATTTAATGAGCCACTCAAGTGAGTTGTCAATTTGTTTTGTCTAATTAATTTCCTGATGAATTTCTTGGCAATATGTACAGTCCCTTGCTTTCTTGGCTATTTCTCTCTAATGGCACTTTGCTAAACATGGTTAAGTTACAATGTGTTTCCTTCTTTGTACAATTAATAGTTCAAGGTCTGTTTACCCTGTCAAAAGAACAATAATCAGGCAGGAGAATGTGTATTATGGGTGTTGCTGGACTTGACAATAAAAACAGTCGTGTTGACAGTACCCACTGTTTCCTGTACACAGCGATACTTGATACCTGACAAAGCTCCCTAAATCACCTCTTCTGCAGGAAAATGGCACATGTGTTTCTACTGAACTAATTTTACTCTTATAACAAGATTACTTGCTGATAAATATTTTTGCAGTAAAATTAATTTTAAAGCATTTGTATAGTCATTGTATAGGATGTTTTTTATATTTGCTAAATGAGAATCAGTCACGTTTTAATACGAAACTGGAGTCAGGCTATGTTTGGCTCTAGCTTAGCATAAAGACTAAAAGCAGGGGAAACTGCTAGCTGGCGCTGTGCGAAGGGGAAAGAGATGCCCACCAACACCCTGAAGCTCATTAGCATGTATCTTGTTTGTTTAACATACAGCGTGCTGAAACTATCATGATTATTCACCAAGTCATTCTGTGCAGCATCCCTGGCTATTGCATGGGTTGCTGGATTCAGTCAGTGACTACTGGTTTTGTGGGTTTTGAAGGTACCAAATGTGGCACCCTCACTGTGACAAGACACAAGGATGCTGCGCACAGTTACTGCCGATGGTTGCCACGAAATGGTTCCACAATGTAACTTTAAGTATTGGTAAGGTTTTAGAGGTGGTTGTAAAACTAAATTCCCCACTTGGGACAGAGCCAAGCTAGCTGTTTCTAGTCTTTATGCTAAGCTAAGCTAACCACATCCCAGCTTGAGATTTGGGGTCTATCTGCTCATTTCACATGTTTGTACTTCACACAGATGCCAGAACATTCGGTCTCTAGTTTTTGCAAATGCAGAATGACAAAACATAACTATCCCGCACCCTGATGATCACTTATACTCTTATTTGGTCAGGTCATTTTGTCCACTGAATGTCAAACTTCAGTCTGTTCCCTTTTTTAATCCCTCTCAGAGATGCGATGCAGCTGAATGTCCTGGCCACCCAGAAGATGGTGGCGTTGGCCCACAGGATGAAGCACCTGGAGATTTTCATCCATATCTCCACAGCCTATGCCAACTGTGACCGGGAGCTCATTGAGGAAATTGTTTACCCTCCCCCCGTAGATTACCGCAGACTCATTGACACCCTGGAGTAAGTTGATCTGGACTTTTGAACGGCTACTTCAACAAACTGTTGGCGACTGTTTTTTGGATTTGGATGGCCTTGTCTATACAGATCTGTTGTCTTTAGTGTACAGAAGCATGGAATTATGGTTGAGGTTTTTAAAAGGATTCTTCATTTCTTATTGCTAGATGCATAAAAAGCAAGGGCAGGATTAAGATTGTCAGCAATGCACTGAGGGTGCCAGGTCAGTTTAGCCATGACCTGTAGAGTAAATGACAGCTTAGTAGCACTAATGTAGAGCCTGCCAGTCTTAACTAGATTAGTGAAGCGTTAGAAGCCAGCAGTGAGTAACAATTAGGGTGATGATTCTGAGGTTATGTATAAAATGTGGTGGTCTTTATGCCCTTTCCCCCCCCTTTAGTGTAGAATGTACCTAAACACATTTGGTTTTACGCTTATAAAGTAAAGAAACAGAAAATATTCATGTTTTTAAGCTCAATCAGAAATTTGACTTTTCTTAAATTGCTGAAATGATCGAAATTGTTGCATATTAATTTAATAGCACCGTAAAATGTTGACATTCGTATCTCCCTCTGAATGATCTGACACGAAGGCCGTCATCAGGTTGCTTCTAATCTATCTAAAACTTTGGTTTATGCCTAACTACACTAATAATGAATGACATTCCCATCAGCCACAGCTGTATTGTTTATTGCAAATGATAACTTGCTAAACTATGATTGTCAGCATGGTAAACATTACACCTGCTTAACATCAGCATATTACCATTACCATTGTAAGCATGTAACATGCTGATGTTAGCTTAACAATAGACATTTAGTCTTATATTTATTTGATAGGACTGAAGATGCATGCAGCGCTCTACATTGGTGCTGGAGCTGGTTATTGTAAATGTAGAAAATGCAAGACTAATCTTGTGTTATCTTGTTTCATGCAGTTGGATGGATGATGATCTGGTGTCTTCTCTGACTCCCAAACTGATCGGGAAGCGTCCCAACACCTACACATTCACCAAAGCCTTGGCAGAGTATTTGGTGCAGCAGGAGGCTGGAGACCTTAACGTAGCCATCATCAGACCATCCATAGTAGGAGCAAGCTGGAAAGAGCCCTTCCCAGTGAGTGATTCGGGCTTTTGGTGTTTCATTGCTGTTTCATGATTTTGTTTGTTTTTAACCTTCAGTTAGGGAGAGAATTGCTGTTGAATAGGAATTGTTCGCTGTACCCTAGATAAAATTTTGGATGCAGTTTAAAATTTACAAAAAGGCTGGAAAAACAAATCATAGCTGGGGGTGTCGGGGTCTGTCATTATCTGTTTTGTCCGGTTTTTAAAAAAAGTATGCCATCTGCTGAATAACTAGGGGTGGGAGGGGAAAAAATTCTTAGATGCATCACGATGCGGACGTAACGTTGATGGAACGCAAAAGGCAGAACTCTAAGTCCAGAAGTGCAGTGCCCAGACAGTCTGTGGTGTGCACAACTGAGACCAGTGCACACCACCTCTGCAGAATGAATAACCTACTACCACCCTACTAAAATTTAACACTATCATTAATATCTGTGCACAATTTGTGTTTTTCACTATCGTGCTGTGTAAGCATGGTAACACTCAACACTGTGCTGGCTTCCTGTGTGAGTAGCAAATGAGTGGGCGAGTGAATGAGAGTGCGACAGAGTGATGGCAAGTTAGCGGAGTCATTAGAGATCTGGCAGTAAACGCCCAGTGCAGGTCAGTGTGAATGTTAAGTCTGTCATTTCCCCAACAGCTGTAAAGTGAAGGTGGTTAGCTAGCGCGAACCACCTTCACTTTACAGCTGCTATGTAACATCAGCTGAATCAGTAACTTAATGTTAATGCCATTACTACTTACTCGTCCAAGGTTGAGGACATCTGGTACAAGTAAAACTGGTGTACAGTTCTGTCCTGTACACATACTGTACATCCTGGTACTAGTTAAATTATATTTCAGTTTTTCAGAAGAGTCTGAAAACTGCTTAGTGAAGAGAAGAAAGTGGTGACCAGGAGGAGCTGTGGTTGGCGTAAACTAGGGAAGCAAGATGGTCCTTTTTAAGCTAAGGAGGTGACGTTTCTTTTAGATTTTAATGTACAAATAAGATGCAAAGTAATTATCCAGAAATTGCATAGGGGGGAAAACCCCCCACCAATAATCGTTTTATAATCACAAAGCAGCCTTCTGAATTGCAATTGAATCGTGAGGTACCCAGAGATTCCCACCCATAAATGATACAGTAGAGATTTTTAATGCATTAAAGGCCAAAATATAGGTTCTTAGAACAAGGCCATGTTGAAAAAAACAATTACACAAGAAAAGGGATGTATCTGTATTGAAAACCACCGTTGCCGCTGTAAAACTGATGTGAAGGAAGTCCAGATCTGTTCTGGTTGTTCCTCAGGACCTAATCTAGATTTCAATCAAATTCTGAAAGCACTCTGCCTCTGTTGCTGCCAACACAGGGTTTTGGAGTAGTTGACCTGTGGTGGTGGGAGTAGGAATTTGAAGAATGTGTGGTAAAGATGCTCTGCACACCTTTTGCTCCTGGCCAGTATCTGTTGAAAGCAGGACAGTCTTTCGAGTGCGTTGGGGCTGTCACCCTGTAGAAATTGGCTGACAGCCAGCTGCTATCTGAAATGGAGATGTCAGTTTTCAGGGTTGCATCTAACATGGTTCCTTGTACAGATCATTTAGTCTATGAAATGTCAGAATAATATCAAGCTGCTACTACAGGCTAAAGGTATTATAATTGCTTTTTGTTTGAAAATTGACTAATAGTTGATCAAGAAACATTTTATTTTCGGTCAATTGTTTCAGTACTAATTTTATGCTTTCCTCTGAACGCTCTTTCAGGGTTGGATTGATAACTTCAATGGACCTAGTGGAATATTCATTGCAGTAAGTACTAAACTGTTTAGGTGGTTTATATACAGCAACATCCACAAAATTGGAGCTTATGCAACTTATGTAACATTAACCTCTGGCACCATCCTTACACTTGGTAGTTCCAAATCAAAATACTTTGCATCATGTTTTGTGTTGAAATAAGTCGTCAACACGTAGAAATCTTGCAAGAGTTCTGCAGATCTCGGGTTACCATCTAGACACAACCTACTATGTGGCAGTGCAGTAAAACAGAATGTAAACATCTGAATGGGTTGCCCTCTTCTACATAGAAATGAATGGGAATGCAAAGTTTGGTCTGACTGTGCCGTTAGTCCAGAAGTTGGGGTCATAATAAATGTATTTGTCATGTTGTAGTTGGCACCAGCCATTCTTTGTTACTTTGAAGGTTATAGACTTTATCATTTGTGTTAATAGTCTTTCCCTTCACCTTCTCTAGGCTGGTAAGGGGATCCTGCGAACGATGAGAGCATCCAATGATGCTGTGGCTGACCTGGTGCCTGTGGACGTGGTGATCAACGCCACACTGGCTGCAGCTTGGTACTCTGGGTCACAGTCAGTCAACAGGTTTGAAAGACACAAACATGATTTTCTGGTCAATATGGATTTTACTTTTCAAGTAAAATTCAGTGGATTTACTCTGAAATCTTCCCTCCATGTTCATAGGTCTAAAAACATCCTGGTTTACAACTGCACAACCGGAGGGATCAACCCGTTTCACTGGGGGGAAGTCGGTAGGTCTCTTATCTTACCTGAACACAGCCTCTATAAAGCCCCTTGACAATGAAAGCTTATGTGTAAACGTTTCATCTAATGACATACCCTGATTGTGATCTGATCCACTGCCTGCCACACCCAAAGAGCTCTTTTTTTTTTTTTTTTTTTTTTTCTTTTGTAAACTTAAAATGTAGTGATTATAGACCTACATGGAGTAAAACATAGGGCTGTTACTGAAAGTGCAGTGATTTTTGCAAACGGTTGCATTAGGAAAAACTGGTACACACAGGTAGGCTTAATCATTTTTACCAGTTATTGGCTCAAACCTTCAAATGGTTACAGGAAGACTGAAAAATTTCATCTTGGCTTCAGGATGAAAACACACTCGATACTTGCTGCTGTCTAAACAGTGGCATCAATTTCAAGTTGTACTGTGATGCAGTACCACTCTGCGCAGATATGTTTCATTGTACATTGTTGGCTTCAATGGGTGGACAGAATGACTGGAACACCGTACAATTTCATGCTATCAATACAATAGCCCGTAGCACCAAATACTATTTTGAGATTTAAAGTTAAAGCCCTATTTAATGGATTAGTATATTCTCGAATTTCTATTTTCCATCTCACTTTAAAGGGGAACTCCTTACATCTGCATTATGACGCAAATTTGAAAATTGGGGAACCTAACCTGTAGCCCTGCTGCTCATCTCTGCAAGTGGCTCTAGACTACATTAGCCACTACTAGCATAATGCACCCCAATCGTCAACCAAACTGTCTGCGGTCTACTTGCATTATGAGAATGTAGGTGCCAGATTTTGACAAAGAATGCTTGAAATAAAAATTCATTTTTGAACTGTTAAATCGATTTCCCATCCATTTTGGCTTAAAAGCAGTGGTTCATGACTGACCATGGCAACAGGAGTTGACAAAACATCAGAAATGGAAACTTCATGTACATGTCGTGATAACTGTCCATCTGCTGAGGTTAGATGTGTGACTTGACCAAAAGCTCAAACGGCTATATACATTGAAATTGGTTTGCAAAATAATTACTGCCGTACTTTGCCGGCTTTTTTTTTTTTTTTTTTTTTTAAAGCTGTATTTTGGTTTTGTGTTGGGTGTGCATTATATTGTAATTATCTCATGAAGCACTTTGAATACTCAGGAAATCTACTAACATTTGGTTTAGCTGCAGCAAATGTATTTAACTGCTGACTTTTGTTTTGAACAACCTTCTGTTTCTTAGAGTACCATGTAATATCCACATTCAAGAGGAATCCCCTTGAGCAGGCCTTCCGTCGGCCCAATGTTAATCTCACATCCAATCACCTAATCAATCAGTACTGGATCGCCGTGAGCCACAAGGCTCCGGCCTTCCTCTATGATCTGTACCTCAGGCTGATTGGACGAGAGCCCAGGTAACCTATTCGCCGACTCGGACGTGCCACACCTCTGCTGTTAACGGCCAAAAACCCTTCACACGCGCACACGTCTGCTGCTTTAGTCCTGTCACTTTTCTTGTAGTGTAGTAGTCTAATGCCGAAGCTGCAACGCTAATGTGTTACATGATGCTTGTGTGCAGTTTTGTTTGACGTTGAAGAATGTATAACCCAGCTGCTCTCCTGCACATAGAGGGGGGTTACTGATGGGTTCTGCACTCTTTACATCTTGCTACTTGCAGTGTTACTGTCTCAGTTGGGTTCCCAAAATGTCAGCACTAAGGTCATCTCAGTCCAGCTGATAAATGGACTAAGGTGGACTTCAGTCTTAAGATGTCTTTGTGACCCCAACCCAGGTGTTGGCCCTTTTGGGTGGGGGGGGGACCTCTGCTAGCAGTTGAATTCTCACGTGAACTGGATCTGTCTCTCCTTTAAAATCCAGATACTTAAAGATCTACAGCTCTAGCATTACACAGGGCCTGCATCTTGCCTAGTATAGGTAGGAGGAGGAAACGCACATTCTTCATCTCGTCCTCTGTGTCCTCCTTGTCCTGTCATATCTGTATCTCTCTCCTACAGAGTACTGTATAAACATGACCTTCAAGACCAATCCCTTAGAGCAGGCCTTCAGAAGGCCCAATGTCAATCTGCGCTCCAACCCCTTTACTAATCAGTACTGGACCACTGTCAGCCACACGCTGCCAGCCCTGGTGTATGACTGCTATCTCAGGCTGACATGCCGCAAGCCCCGGTAAGGTTGCAACTGCACTTCCCCCCTGCCAGTCAGCCCCCACCTTTCTCACAAGCCCTCCCTCTCCTACTGTGTTGTTTTTTTTTTTTTTGTTTTTTTTTTTTTTACTGACTGGTTATGTGGGATAATGGGAACAAGGGTGCAGGGCGGAAGAAACAAATGTTTGCCGTGTCTTGACTTTACCTCATGGCATCAACTGGACTTTGTTAGTGTCATGATAACACGACTTGGCTTCTATAGGCATGTTTTCACCTCCTGCTGTTTTGGAAATCCGGGTTTGGTTTTTTTTTGTTTTAAAACTCTTCAGAAGACTTTTTGTGAACGAGCCATGCTGTGAACATCCATTGTCATCCCACACTTCTCATCCAATCATGGAAAATCCTGAGGCACCATGGGACTTCTTGGTCACTTAAAAAAAAAAAAAAAAAAAAAAAAAAAAGCTGAACATGTTTGTGTTCTCTTACTACAAGCCACAGGTATTTCAGACATTCAATGTTTTGCAGTGCCAAGCATCCTTCCACAATACAACAGCTTCATTTGCTGAGTTTCAAATAGCAGTCTGAAATTAATTTGGCTTTGTAGCTAACTCACATTTCTATGGGTGTGATTTGGTCCTAGTTGGGTATGTCACCAGCTGTAAGCAATGATTCTCTCTGCCTCTGTGTGCTGCATGTTTGTTACAGCCTTTGAATCATTCGCCTTCACAGGAGGAATCTTGAGTCATCCCAGTCTGCCTCGTTTAGTGTAACCATTTAAAGAGCATTTCATACTAACAGTAACAGGCATATCATTGGACTAAGGCCTTTATTTATAATTAAAATGGCTTAAGTTTAAAATTCACTAAACTACAAAATGTGCAATTTGAAGGCTCAAGACGCCCTCTTTTGATCCTCACAGTAACTGGGTACTGTTACATTCTCACCGCAGCTACCACGGCACTTTAACTTGAATTGAATGATCATCTTTTTTTGATTACCATCCTCTAAATCTGAACTAACAGAAATGAAGTATGGAAACTGGATTCACTTGTGTTAACAGGAGGACAAAAGTGAATACACAGGAAGTTATGTGTCCCTTGGACTATAAAGCAGACTATTCATTTTGTGTGGGTTTTCAATATTTTGGGTAAAATATTGACTCGGTCTGTAAATCTGTTCATTTTACAATCGTAGATCTGTCCTCCTGGCCTGCACACAGATTAAATCCAGTTAGTCCTCAGCTGACTTGTATCAGTCACTGTCCACAGGGGAGGAATCAGACCTGGCTACTTACAGTGCTATGACAAAGTTTGGACAACCCTCTTGACTATTTGGAAGATTTGAAAAGTGAATCATCATGAACATTTCTGAGCCAGATCTGTAGAACAGTGTTGGTGTACACTAATGCTTTACATTTAGACATTAATGAACTACATGTACAAAAGAATGAACACTCTTCTCGGCTGCTTTTTAAAATCCCATGCAACTGAAATTGCACATTGTTTCTGTCCAATGAAAACCATGTATCTCATTTTGGTAATTACGTTAAACGAACAGTCTAGCATTTTAGGAAACACGCATCCTAAATAAGATGGTCAATGCCACTCACTTCTGTATGGTAAAAATTATGCTCCAGTCAGCAGCTCCCTAGCTTAGCGTAAAGACTGGTAATGGGGGGGGGGGGGGGGTGACCTCTAGCTCCCTAGCAGCAAAGAAATGGTCCAGCACAATCCCAAAACTGAACAGTTTGAGATGGTTTTCAGGGGACAGTTTCACTGGCGTATATTACAGTTCATGTGTAACTTTTGCTACCAAGGCATGTTTGTGGCTTGTGTTGGTGTTTATCTTTGTAGTTTCCTTAACCTCTGCTCTCTCCTCCTCCAACACCATGGAACCCTGTCCCGCTCATTCATCCTCTGGCCCTCCCCATATTCCCTGCCCACCCCTTCCTCTGTCTGTCCCAATTTTTCTTCATCCCGCCACCTCTACTCCTTACCTTGTCACACTCCTTGCTGCACTTCCTGAAACATCCCTCTTCTGTTTTGCCAATCATCTTCTCTCTGACCCTACACTACCATCGCCTTCTTCATCATTCCAATGTTCATCTTTTCGCATGGTCCTCCCCCTTTTTATTGCATCTTCCCTTCACTGCATGTTTATCACAGGATGATGAAGACAATCACTCGTCTCCATAAAGCCATGATGGTCCTGGAGTATTTCACCAGTCACTCTTGGGTTTGGAACACTGACAACGTAGCCATGCTAATCTCTCAGATGAACCCCGAGGATAAGAAGGTAGATATTATACAGATAAGAATGAAATGGAAAATACTATCTGCTTCACATAACTCACACTTTATCCTCAAGTTGTCCCATGTCCACCCCCACCACACATGACAGACTTTTACAAAGATTTTTACCACTCAGTGCGTTAATGTCTGCTTGTAGGCTGGCTACAATAAAATGAGTCATTCAATAGTGACGTCAGTTTGTAGTGAACGGAGACATTGTTCAGGAGAGCTGACTGGAGGAATCTGCATTTCTGAAGGGCATGCTGGTGGACTGGGACTGCTACTTAAAATCCTGTTTACACAATGGACCGATTGTTCCTGTAATATGAGACAGACATTTTGTCTTTGTTCTCTTGATAGAAGCATATTGGACTATCTAATTCTGTGTATTTACTCGTAAGTCTAAAATAGTGTTAGAAGATATTCTGTTAAAACTGTTTTTTTTTTAAATTTGTTGTGCCTTCTCCCACCAAAAGAAACGGGCTGCTTGGGCATTCAGAACTTTAGTTCCCTGAGTGACTGAAAGGCAACACAAACACCACCTCACTGATCCAACCACAATGTGCCACTGTGCCTTTTATCTCCCAGGCAATGATGTTTTATTTTCCCCTCATTGTGGAAGACATCACTGGGGGTTAAATTAGGCCAAAGCCAGCTGGAGCTCAGTGTCTGTCCCTCACTGTCTTTTATTAGATACTTGTGCAGACAACCATTAACCCATTTAGATATTATTATTATTATTTTATTATTTTTTTTTTTTCTATTAAACATTTTGCCTAGTCAAATTAACTTTTTGACATGTCAGTAGGAAAAGCACTCCTAAAAACAATGGATTCCATGTAACTGTAGACACTTAACATAGAAGTACACTTTCCTGTTTGGTTTTGTTTAGCCCCCCCCCTCTGGTTGAAGATGGAGCAGATGGTGGCAGCATGTCTGAGATACACTTACATCTGTGTGCATGTTGGCACATATGCAAATAAACATGTTATAAAATGTGTTTGTAGGCACAGTGGTCGCATGGCTGTCTAGATGCCAGGTTTTTTAGATTAATATAGATTGGAGTGATGTGTTACTTTCCTTGTTCACCTAAAATGTTTACCTCTAATAAATGTCTGTTACAATTTTCTTATTTTTGTAGGTGTTTAATTTTGATGTGCGTCAGCTGCACTGGGCAGAGTACATGGAAAGTTACTGTATGGGCACCAAAAAATATGTCCTCAATGAAGAGCTGTCGGGCCTGCCAGCTGCACGCAAACACCTCAACAAGTAAGCCTATGGAATTGGGGTTGGGTAAATTCTGCTGCCAATACAAAGAAATACTCGTATGATGAGCTCTTAGACGGCTGCATTTCTCTATAGAGAGTAGGCAGCTTTATATCCTCTAGGTCACAATATAGTAGATCTCTGCATAAGCACTTAAATACTCTTTTGACTTACAAGTACTTCAGTTCATCCGTCCATTAACCACTGTCGATCGCATTGGTCAGAATGAGATTTTAATTTTTTTTTTTTTTTTTTTTTTTTTTCAGACAAATTGTTCAGATTATCAGTGAGTGCACAGTGGCAGTAATCCTGAGCTTTAACAAAGCTCATGTGAATAATTTAGCAAGCAGAATTTTTCAAGGAATTAAAAGGGGAGAGCACATTTAACATCTGTAAAAGGCAAACTGGATGTGTGAGTTTTGAACACACACTCTTTATGTTCACCCTGGCACTCCTGAAATTAGAGTCCTCCTTTTTGAAGTCTATGCTCTGTCTCAATTGTGTCTCTTGTGTCCCAGGCTGAGGAACATCCGCTATACCTTCAACACCGTCCTGGTGGTGCTCATCTGGCGTGTCTTCATTGCCCGATCCCAGATGGCCAGAAACATCTGGTACTTTGTGGTGAGCCTCTGCTTCAAATTCCTCTCCTACTTCAGAGCTTCCTCCACCATGAGATAATGAGCCTGGGACACTGTGCGGGGGGAAGAGATGAGGAACACACTGGCTGTGGATGATGAGAGGTGCCTGTTTTGAAAGCCGTTAAAATGGTACCATGTATTTATATATAAAAAAAAAAAAGCTACCCCGACACTAGGATTAAATGGAACCATTAAACCCATGAACACTGAGCTACTGGATGTGCCTGGAGTCCACAGCGGGCTAAATGTCGCATATCTCGGATCGATCTAATGCCATCTCTAGCACTTCATAAAACACAGGGCATGGATTTATCTCCCAATGCTCAGAGTAACTGCACTTGGACTAGTCAAAGAAGCAGGACTACACGCCCTCATTCTGTGCAGTTCCAGTTAGTTCGGCCCCCCCTCAGGTGCCAACTTCACTCCCGCGACCTTTAGGATCCGGGAGCACCCAAACCTGCTCCATCTTATCGGTCTGCTCGCCTGGCTGCTTGCTTGCAACGCGTTGAATGATGATCTGCCAGTCCAGGCTTCCTCTTCTGTTAATGTAATCATTTAATGGCAAATGACCACTCCAACCGCCATCCAAGTTATATTTCTGTCACTTGAAAACATGGCTCCAAATTATTTTTCATGGTGGTTAATGTCAGTCTTAAGGCATATTGAAATGTTTAAAAAAACAACAAAAAAAAAAACAACTTGTTTCAAAAATTTTGCTTGCTAGGCAAAACATGGACTACACCCCCCCCCACATCCCCCAAGACCAAAGCCGGCTTGGTGTAAAGAATTGATATTGCATGGGTTTTGCGGGGAGGGGGGGTTGTCCCAATGCCACCAAGAGTTGTCATTGGCTGTCTTTCACTCTTCCTGCTTGGCAAAGATGCGCTCTCTGTGCACTCCTGTATGTCCCCAGTGGACTGCAGTGGCTATTTCTGTCCAAGCACAAGGTAGATTGGAATACAATGGTTTTGTCCAGTGCCTACAAACCTGATTATTCTTGCATCAGCAAATCTTTCAAATAAAGCTGCTTCATCTACTGCTTCCTTTTTTTTTTTTTTTTTTTTTTTTTTTTTTTGGTCCCCCCCCCCCTCAAGTCTTGTGACAGTCTAAAAGCTATTTTTGCCAAAAATACCTCTTAGCTAACAGACTCGTAGCTCAGTAGAGGAAGAGACAGGTAGAGTTGAATAGAAATTTTGTCACACTTGGCTTCATTATGTGTGAGTTTAAAGTCTTTCAGTACTGGTTGACATAGTGAGTCACGGATATACACTGTAGGGGATGACTCATGTATTCATTGGTCTTTTTAGTACATTAAACTTCAGGTAGCTCTAACTGGTAGCTCAAGTCAGTTTTTCATGTTCATTTGCTATCTTAGTTGCTTCTGTAAATACAGATATGCAGGATTTAGTTGTGCTCATGTGGTTTTATAACTTGCTGGTAAACTCTTGGACCATTCTGTTGCCTTCATCGTTCTGTCCTGCTCCGTTTAATAAAAATAAAGAAAAAAAAGTTTGCCTTTTTAGACCAGGAATTTTGGCTTCTCACAGAATTCGTAACATGAGCTGAGCTTGCATGTTCGCATCAAATCAGTTTTTAAACTTTTCTTTTTGTTATAGGAATTTACCCTTGTTGGCATAAGTTGTCCGACCTGAGGTTTACCTGTGCACCATGTCATATTTGTTGTCTGTTACCTATTTCTCGAGCACACTGCAATGTTTGAAGAAGCGTGGTGTGACATGTGCTGATCTTTGATGTGCTTGCATGTGTCAGAGTATCTTGGGCCATAGCAACATCACACGCCTTCATGTACGTCCTGTGAATGTCTTGGATTTATTAAGGAATGCAATTTTTTTTCTTTTTTTTTTTTTTTTCTCACTCTCTCCGCATGAGCCATTTTACATTGGATCATGTGACTTGGTTGAAAGATACACCCTTTTGGAAAGATGTGTGCAAGTGTGAATTGTGCCTGAACTTTTTTCAAATTCTAACAATGTGAAAAGAGCAATCAGATCTATGTTTTCTAATTTTGTGTACAGCTCTATTTAGGTAGACTTAAAAATATAACAAAACAGATGTATTTTTATGCTAATGACATTGCGTGGCTATTTTACTGATCAAGCTTATTGAACCAACTTCAGCTGCTGTAAATACTTAAAATAACGTAAACCAAGTGCAGTATGTTCATAGCTGAATTAAGTTGCTTGTCATTTGACTTTTCTGTGTACTTTTTTCCCTCTCTGAATGTAATAGAATAACACAGCCTGATGTGTTTGTACAGGCAGAACCTTCCTGACTCCTGAAACGAGAAATTAACAATACTGTAATTGCCTGTAATTTGAATATTAAGCGCGTTTGTTCATTGGAGTGCCGTGAGATACTTGTGTTTTTGGTTTTTTTTTTGCTGTTGTATTTCCTTCTGATTGTATGAGTAAGTTTTTTTTGTTTTGTGCTGAATGGCTGTCATATTCCTGTTTGGGGGGAGGGGTGGGCAGTGGTTTCTAATTCAGTGTTTTCTTCAAGCGGTTGTGATTCGAGGAGTGAGCGATGAACTGCTGAATCAGAAATGGTTTGTTCAACAAACTGCATCAACATCAGCATTAACTCCTTTTGGAACTAATCCTAAATAGTCCCATTGATCCATTATTAAAAGTACAGAAAGCTCCTGAAAACATGGCTTTAGTTAAATATTTGACTAATCCATTATCAGAGTTTAACGGAATGGTAAGACATTTTGGGAAATGCACTTATTTGCAGAGACAAAAGATTGATGCCCCTCCTGTCTCTGAAATGGGAAGCTACAGCCAGCAGCTGCTTACCTTAGTGTTGGTAATGTTGGTGCGTAGTATTTCAGAGTTTAACAATCAGGAATGCCACGAAGACTGTGTGGTTGACCAAAATTTGATTGACCGGTCAGAACACTGTCAAAGTCCCGCCCTTTTCTACACATGAATACAAATATAAAAAATCTCAGATGAAATAACTCAAAGTATTCCAACTTTGGCAGAAAGTGTTGCGGCCATGTGGAAACCTGTCTCCTAGTAGAAAAGCTGATTTGATAAAATAGTCACAGGGCCTTTAAGGAAACTTGTCATTTTGAATAATGGATCGTGGCTATTTGGATTTGGCACTTTAACCGGTTTATGCATATAATTCTGTATTTTGCTTTCCCATCAGGGTTTTGTTGGATTTAAAGCTCTTTTCTTAGTGTTATTTAAAAACTTTTCATACATTCCTGTTCTCATGAAGTACTGTTTTGTTTGTACTTTTTGTCATGGTTAAGATTATGTTTACTCACTTTACATGGCAACACACCATGCTTGGGCTGTGCTAGAATGCTAACACATTTTCTTCTGAGGTTGTGATTGCATTCAGACTGGTTAGTGTCCATGTTCATTTTATAAATGTGTTCATGTGGTTCTCCTATTTTGAACAGTATGATTTCAGAAGGAAAATTCTTGCCACAGTTATTGTCAATGTGAAACTCCAAAAACAATAAATCAATGGGTGCCTTTTGTTTGTAAACCAAAAAATGAATAAATGAGTTTAATCCTCTTCCTGATTAAGACGTTTGATTTCTCTCAAATGAAGTAACACTATTTGAGACTCAACCAGGGAGCGACAGCATGATTGACAGTGAAACAAATGAACCATTAGTTTTAATCTGTCCATCTGACCTGTTTCCTGTTGTGCATGAACCATATGTCCTCACACACTGTATCTGGAAGCTATTAAACAGCTCCATTAAAATTTAATGCTGCCATTCAGGATTATACTCTACTCATGAATGAAAGGTTTGGCCTGTCCTCATTTTGGGTGGCTCGGTGTCATTTCTAGAAATGACTAGAAGGGTAGCGTTTCTGGTTTTAGTTATCAGTACACTGCCATGGTAACCTTTTTTTTTTTTTTTTTTTTTGGGAGTAATGTTTTGTTTAAAGTCCTTATCTCTAAAAGATGTCCCTAAACAAGTTTAGTCACAGAGGTAACATGATTACTCGTTCACATAAATGCTGTCTGATCGGTTGCCCTCAACTTGACTCTGGTTGCCACGCAAGCTAAAGCTGCAGATTGTGTCTGGAGATTGTTTTACACTGGAGAGGTTTTGTTTCTCACTGCAAGCCATCAAACCTCAGTTTAGAAAACTGGAGTGCCCTACAATGTAAACTCATTATAGCTTATGGTGTATGCTAATATAAACATATTGGTGGGTTAAAACTAAAATGGAACAAATCAATTTGGATTTTTATGTATAAACTGTAAAGTTTGAGCTCCACTCGAACAAAACGCATAGTGTATTACAAACAAGTTGAGAATTAGCAAAAGAAACAATGAATGCACTTGTGTTTAATCTGAAGATTTATTGATGCAAAGTAGTATAAAAAACAGTATTGAATAAATGTTTACCAATAGATGGATCCATGTGTCTACATCTTAATATGAAATATAGATAAATACATGTAAAATGCCTTATACTCATGGGAGCAATTTCTGCTCGGAGAAGACAAATTAAAACGCTCATGAAAGTAAACGCTGATGTACTAAACTAAAGATCCCAATTTGACAGTAAATACTGGGGGGAAGAACACAAACTCTGAAGATTTGTTACTTTTAAAATACTCACCCCTTAAAGCCATAATGTATGCATACCCAATTTTTCGGTTTTAAAAACTTTGTTGCATAATGTGTCCTAATTCAATGTAAAAGTCCATCCCCAGTGTATAGGCTGAAGGCTTCAAGTTTCCACGTAACACTTGTGTAAGTTGCATAATTTGGGACATAGTTGGCTTCCATTTGCGATGCCATGCACATAGGTCTGGGTGTAACTGATTAGAGTACCACAAAGAAACATGCAAGCACAATAGTAACTAATGGGTAGTTAATGTTAAAAACCGAAGGATGCTGTCCCATCTGTGGTGCGGGGCATCTACATAGGGGGGAAACGAACCTCATGTAATAGAGCCCTGAATGTGAACAGAAAAGACCTAGCTGATTTTGTCCATGAATGCCCGTCTTACACTTAGCTCACTATCGGTTATTTTATAGCAAGTTTTGTCATCTTCGCAGCTCGAGTACGTTGACTTGAACAATGAAGTGCACTGATAACACTGCTGCTTCCGGCTTTACATAAAGAATTCATGGACATTAAATGCCTTTCTAACTCTCTGATGCTCTGGAGTGAAGCCAGACAAATGCCCTCACACTAATCTGAGTTTATGTATGAGGGATGACCTGTCTGAACAAGTCTGACAATTTCTCTTTAGCAGCTTTAAAAAAGATAAGACTCTAGGCGGTGATCCTTGACTGTGATGGTTGATCTGTTGACAGCTGGTCTCTCTTAATGCTTTATGCTCCACTCTGGAACACCTGGCAACAGCTGCATAGTAACTGTGGCCCAGCAACCATGCCAAGCACTGAGTCACACCCAGTGGGGCCGGGGCCACAGGGCTACATAAACAGGAACCAGGGGCTTATAGGGCTTAGAGTGGGAGCCCAGAGGCAGAAACATGCTCTCACTGAACGTCTATACTGTATATCTGTTAATGTGAGGGTAATACGCTGGATAAGTTTTGTGCAGATAGCTGTCCATTTTGCTACTTTATTGCCAACACAATGGTGGTTTAATCTATGTGCAGTTCAGTTCAAGTAGGTTTACAGTACCTACAGATACTGCAGAGCTGAACCAATAAATATTGATGTTAACAGTGGCTCAAATGAATTAAGAAAAGCAGGCAAAATTAGCAGCTAGCTAGTGGTGAAGAAGGTCAAACATCTAGCAGCTAAGGAGCCACGAGTTTCTCTCCGGAGCTGGTAAAGACCAAAAGAGTTGAAAGGAGAGTGAATATTGGATTTAGTACATTTACTCAAGTACTTTACTTGAGGTACCTGTACTTTTCATGCCACTTTCTATTCTACCCCACTACATTTATCTGACAGCTTTAGTAGTTAGTTTACAAACTAAGCTTTTTACACACAAACCATAAAGAGTAAAAAAAAAAGTTAATTTGTTGGGTAGTTTAAGTTATAACTAAACTATGAACTGGCAGTTATTTTGTTTTAGTAATTTTTCATGCAAAAACACTTCATGGTTCCAGCTTCACAAATTTAAATTTTAATAACTTGAATGTTGTGTTAATAAGGTTTGGACTGTTGGCTGGACAAAACGAGCTTTATGAAGGTGTCCCTTAATTGTGACAGCATTTCTAATTTTTACAGTCAATTAATGGAGAAAAATCTGATCCATTGGACTGCAACTAATAAAATAATTAGTCAGTCTGATACAAAATTGTTCAAAATGAGCTCTACCTAAATAACTACAGCAGTAAAATCTGGCTTTTACAAGAATGAGTAATAATCTAATGAAATAATATACCTCAAACAGTGACATGGGACTTGTGCGTTGAGTACTTTTGATACTTAAAGTTACTTTTTTCTTATTACACTTACGTGTTTTTACTTTAAAATGTTCAATACAGTTCTTTGTAACAGTATTTTTACAGTGTGGTATTAGTATTAAGGATCTGAATGCTTTGTCCACCACTGTCAGGTGGCCAGATACACGACTCAAGATCAAGGCTGAATTATGTTGCTCTGCATCTGCTGGATGTGCAAACAAGCAATTGTTAACAAGTCTACCACAACAACTTTACAAGCTGATAATGTATAACTTTCTCTAAGTGGAAGAGAGTCTAAGAAGCATTACAGCACTGCATTTACATGAAAACTTAATGACTGAAATAAAATCAATTCCATATCCAGGCTGTTTGAATGGATCAGCTGTCAAATAGGAAAAATGCAACTGCACTGGCTGACAGCATTTAAGAAGAAGCCATAATAAAGTGTTTGTTTCATTGGAACTACTTCTTCCTACATTTTGAATAAATATGGGTTGGTGAGGGGGGGTTTTGTATGTGATTTTTGGGTGAACTTATCCTACCTTACCTATCCCTGTCACCATCACAAGTACCTCACCCATTGTATTCACTGACAGATCTGAAAAGATTAAATGAAAAAATGCACCAAGGTACTGGCCCCGTGTGACAAATCACCTCAGGGAAATGTAGTCCAGAAACACCAGTTAAGTGAGAATATTGTGGATCACTACTATGATCTATAACCACACCCTAGACCTTCTCTTGCTCCTTCAAAACAGACACGTAGTTGCAGAATCTGGCAGAATAAACTGCCTGTACTCCTCTGCACCTCATATCTACCATGCCTCTCCTTGGACATTTGTAGTTGTAGCTTGCTGACTGAGGCATTGCTTGTAGAAAGGGTGCATAAAAGTGACCCATTATCCAACTGGTAAGGATGCGACACTGCTTCACACTGAGCTGCTGTCTGGTAAGTAAAAATGACTTCAGAGGTCAGATTTTTTCTATAGCTTGGACAGAAAACCATGGTTCACCTCAAAACCCAAGCTTTTCTAAAAACCTCTCAAACACAGACACTTGCCTTCTTTGGCCACACTGGCTGTTCTCGTTACACAGATTCACAGCAGTTCAATCATACATTGAATGTGGTAAGGGCTCAGTTTCCTGTATCCCATCTTATAAAGCTTTGCCTCAAAGGTTACGCTGACCACCACAGGTTGTCTGGTATTTTCAGTCTTTCACAACAAGCTTCTTGACCCGGGGAAACGGCAACGGGTGTAATACCAATGCATCACTTTTTCCTCCATCTTTTTCACGTCAAAAATATATATAAAACCCCCCCAAATATTTAAGGTTTTCTATTTTATTTCTCTGCTTTTCTTTTCCTGCATCTGCGTCAGCCTTCCCTGGTTTTTTGTTTGCCTTTTATGACTGTTTCTCTTTCTCTGTTTTACAGCCACTGGACTGTTTGTCTCTTTTTGTGGTACGCACAAAACTCCACACACCACAGTTGACCTTGAGAGTGCAAACACTTTCAATCACTCCCTTTTTACTGGCTTGTTAATAAGTACCCCCTCACACACACACACACACACACGGGTCTATAAAGCGTTTTGCCTTCCTAGTAGGACCATTCCTGATGTGTGTCTTAGCGATGAGGACCATTGCCACTCTGCTCTCTCTCTGCTTTTGGGTACACACCGACATCGATGCTGCTCAATCAGGTTAGTGAAAAAGTGGACACCAAACAGGAGAAGGTAGATATGAACTTACTTGTTCTTTAATGAATATTTTTATGTGGTCAAAACACTGAACAGAATGAATGTGAGAAGACTAAGTAGATTTCACCCTGTCTGCCAGGGTCAAAGTGTGGGATTCCTCGGGTGTGGAGCTCCATGGCGAGGGTCGTCGGAGGGGCCGAGGCTGCATATGGATCACATCCATGGCTAGTCAGTAGTCTACCATTCTTCAAATTAGTTAGTTCCTATTCTTTGTGTGCTGAGATTGCATTTGCTGAGGTTCTGAGGTTTTCTGTTCATCCCTGTTTTTGCCACATTACCAATGCAGAATAACCACTTCTTCTATTTATCTACTTGCTGGTATCTGTTACTTTCTGTGCACCAGAGAAAATGCACAGCCAAGTGTGGTCAACTGGCAGGGGAATCATCACTGTTTTGTTAAAAAACTTACTGAACAGTCATATGGAGTACTCAAACTTGACATTCAGGTGCATGAAAATGTGGCAGTATATTACTTATTTGCTCCACTCTGACAGCAAGGCTGCACAGTTAATGTGTTTTTTTATTTTATGCCATTTTTGCCAATATTATCTATCATTTAATAATATAAAACCTTTTGTGATCATTGAGTTGGAAACAATTATTTTATTAGCATCTCACATCAACAACTTCAGCTGTATTGGGCTGTACACTTTTAACAAAAATATATCCATTGTTCATGATACAAATTTACATGATGATTTGTGCATTCCTAGGCATGTATCACTAAAGTGGTCATTTTTGTAATGCGACAGCAAATGTAGCAAAAGGCAAAAGAAGAAGGTATACCAAAATGAGCCCTTAGAAAATCATTAGCCAAACCTTTGCAATGATAATGTTATCTGCTCTGCTGGACGGCCCAGAGTGAAATATCTGGTTTGCCATAATATTTGACAGACATTCATAGCCCCAGAGGACGCTGACTTTTCATCTAACTTGGGGCCCGCTAGTTTATGGGCAGGAATTCAGCTGTTCTTTAAGATTAATGCTAAAATAGCATGCTAACACTAGACACTAACAAAATCAGTTGCATCCAGATTCTTGTCCTTCAACAGGCTTATGTCTGCATTTATATTTTTAATGTGTGTAAACATTAAATTTCTGTAAAGCTTGTGTTCTCTTCACTCAGGTCTCACTGCAGAACAGGGGCTCTCATTTCTGTGGAGGGGCCATCCTGTCTGATCGCTGGATAATGACCGCCGCACACTGCTTTGCATCACTCTCTAAGTACTGTTGTTACTTACTTGCATAGTCCCATTAACTCTTTTGCTCTTGTGCCACATGTGCATAATGCTTGTTCCTGATGTTGACTGTTCATTGAATGGACATACAACATCAATACTTCTCTGCTCTGTGTAGAGAGTTCCTCAGTGGTGTTAGAGTGCTGGTGGGAGAATTTGACCGGAGAGTGGATGATGAAGAGGAGCAGGTCTTTCTCGTCAAGTCTGTCTCAGTCCACGAGAAGTACAATCATGCTTTGCCTATGAGCTACGACATAGCACTAATGGAGTTGGATCAACACATTCAACTGGGCAGGTTTTCATTTTGACGATTGTTATGGTTTAGTTTTCTTAGATTACGGTGAGCCCTTCCTGTAGTGTTGATCACATTTTGTCAAGTCACTGGTAAGGGATTTTCTTTCAACAGGATCCCATGCCCAGCCAATATGTCTGCCTCTGCCTGATGACAACATTCCACCGGAAACCAGTTGCATTGTGGGCGGATGGGGCAGGATGAAGGAAAGTAAGGTGTTCTCTCACTCCCGCCAAAATTTTATAAAGCAGACTTGAGCTTTCATTTTGTTCTATTGTATTCTACTGTTTCCTTAGAGGGTCGTCTTCCTGCGGTACTGAGAGAGGTCCAGTTAGACTTGGTGGACCCAGCCAAATGCAAATACGTTCTCCAAACTGTCAAAAGTTCAATTCGTAACCAGAGACCAGCTAGGCCTCAGCCAGCCATGACAGTTCTGTGTGCCGGACCTGAGAGAGGAGGGAAAGATGCCTGCCAGGTAGAAAAAGAAATATACTGCCTCTTTTGCCATTATTCTACACTCCATTTAGTTCAAGCACCCTATTCAATCTGTGCTACTGAAAGCAGCGATGCTTCACTAATGCCTGCGAACTACAAATCAGTCATCTGTTTTGAAGAAATCCCATTATTTAGTAGCTTTAAATAGGTTTTTGCAGTGTTGTTGCTCATCCATTGATTCCTCCCTTCATCCTCTCTCCAGGGGGACTCAGGGGGTCCTCTGGTATGTCCTGCAGGTTCAGGTGGTGGTCACTGGGTAGCGCTGGGTGTAACTTCCTGGGGGAAGGGATGTGGTCGGAGCTGGGGAAACAACAGCAGCCGCCACCCTTCCCGAAGAGGGTCTCCCGGGGTTTTCACTGATGTCCGGCTGCTGCTGTCCTGGATTAAGCGTAAACTGAGAGAGGGTAGGTTGAGATAAGGTAAACATCAGGTTCAGGCTGATTGTCTTTCAGAAGTCAGTATTTGGCTTCATTTGTATCTGGGGTCTATTATGTAGTTTATGAAATACTATAACACACAGTAACAATTTATTAAGTGACGATAATGTGTCTAATGGCTTTCAGATGAAAAATCTTGAATGTCTGTGTTGTGTCAGGCTCAACTGACCCTTTGCTGAAGTTTTGACAGCTTGTCTGACCAAACTAAAGCCCTTAATTGATCTTAAACTTGCATACGTTGATTGTTTTGGACACTAGAGGGCCAACACAAGATTGGCATGCTGACCTTATGAAGTGAAGCAAACTTGTTTGCACATCCAGCAGATATAGAGCAACATTATCATTCACTGGGAGTTGCTTTTCTGGTCCCTTGACAAATTTAAGTCTGATATTTATTCTCCTTTTAGCTCAGTGTTTGGTCTCCGCCAACTACTGGGAAAAATGTCTGGCCAGCTGGATATGTGCACAATAGTTTGCAACATGCTAGCTAAGATCGCTGTCTACATGCACCCCTTAGTATTTGTAAAATGTGACCTATCTTATGTCATGAGTGGCCATGCCTCACACAATAATAACTTAAAATTGCTTTGGTAATTAGTTTTTAATATTACATTGTATGGTATCAGTGAATACTGTAGGCAGTTAGGGATTTGTTCATTTTGAACGGTGAGTTGGCCCAATGGAAGCACCCATGACTACACGTTGCTACTTGTCACTTTGATCATGGAGGGGACACTGCTTAATAGAGTGTATAGGCTACAATATAGTATAGAATTGAGTATTATATTCTTATTTATTATTAGTGTAGTTTAGAGAATATTATAGATCCATCCATGGGTGACTGTGGCTCAGTAGAGCAGGTTGCCCGATAATCGGAAGGTCGTGGTTCAATCCCCGGCTCCTCCAGGCTGCGTGTCAAAGTGTCCTTGGGCAAGATACTAAACCCTGAATTGCCACTGGTGGCTGTTCCATCAGTGTATGAATGTGTGTGTGTGTGTGTGTGTGTGCAGATGTAGTGTATTGAGTGGTCGAAAAGACTAGAAAGGCGCTATTCAAATACGGAGCATCCAAGACGAAATTATAATTACAAATCCGACTGCTACTTTAGCACCATGGACAGTTAATCAATACACAGCTAGGCTACTGATATTTGAGAGCTATGGTCAGGGCCACATATTCTAACTTGCACAAACCTCAGCCAGATAAAAGATGAATGAGCCAGGCAGACTAGACCAACAAATCCAACTAAACATCCCCCCTGCACTCTGTCAGCTATAGAGGATGGAGTGGCTCAAGTAATTTGTAAATTATGATAAATATGGCTCTGACCTTAAACCCCCTACATTGAAAATATGAGCTTTCATGGTTTTGAAGTGGCCAATCAGGATGTGTTGGAGGTGGGAGGCTGCAAATTCAGGGGTTCATGCTGGGTGGTTTATAGCCAGTAACTATATTTGCCAGTTCTCAAGCTCACGTGTTTGCTAATTACTGTTTTCTTCCGATGTATTTTATGTGTCATTAGATTTGCACCAAACACCAAAACAGCTTCTTTCCTCAAGCTACTGGTCACGAGGAACACAAATGAGCGTGTTGCTGGACCTGACAGGACGTGCCACGTGATTGACTTGCATTTAGCCAAAGACTGGGATTAGTCCAGTGTTGTAAAAATAAAAATCTACAGTTTAAACCTGGGGATAAAAATGTGTCTTATTTGGGAATAAAATGAAATAATTTAATATTTTAAATACAAGCATACAATATAATTTCTACCCAGCAAAATACAATTGACAAAACAATAAAAAGTTATTTATATGTATTTAAAATCATTTAATTGAAAAGCTGCCCATCTCTGGGTGTCTGCACACAGTCCTCCCAGAAGATGTTTATTTATTAATATGAAATTTGATAACAATTGTTTGATATTAATGAGGACTTTTTTCTTTATTCTCTTTGTGTATGTGTTCGCTTTAGCTGATGAGCAGCAGCAGGAAACGACATTATCGAGTGAGTTGTTGTTTCCTCATTATAGCAACTCTTATTCATCTATATTTCACAATGTTTCTTTGATGCATGCAGTGTGTGTGTGTGTGTGTGTGTCTGTCTGTCTGTCAGAGCTCTGCAGTATGAGAGATGGACCTGTAACAGACAGGGTAGGAGTAATCAGAAACCCTGCCCACCCTGGTGATCACTATGACAACAACCAGTGAGTGATAACAAATGGTTATAATTGTGACCTAACTGCCATAAAAATAATATCATTCAAGAAATTTAAGGAAAATAAATGAATCTGTAAATCAAATTAGCATGGGCAAACTACCCTGGATAACTTCAATCTCTGTGTCTGTTCAGGTTGTGTGTGTGGAGCATCAGTGTTCCTCCTCGTCACAGTATTCTGTTGGAGTTTGATCGTTTTGATCTGGAGAATGACTCTTACTGCCGCTACGATCGCCTCACTGTTTCAGTAGGGACTCGCAGGCCTTTTGGTGAGTCACAATGAGACTGCCCTTCATGATTGTATAAACATTTATCAGACGCTGCAGAGCCACCCAGGACCTCTGGTCATGTGTCAGTTAATAAATAGTTCAACATTTTAGGAAAAACATGTATTTGCTCTATATCTGAGAGTGAGATCAGGAGAACAATACTGGGGGTCAGGACACTGACGGCAGGGGGAAACATCTAGTCAGGATGTGTCCAAAGTGAAAGAAATACACCTATCAGCGTCTCTTAAGATTAGTGTTGGAGCTATTTCTCAACAAATCCTTTCAACCAGCCAAAAACTGTTGTCAAGCAGAGGATTTTTTACATTCTTGCCCTCATTTTAAAAATTTAATGCACACATATGATTGATTGAGCCAAATAACTAGTTTTACAAATTGTACCAGTACTTAACACAAGCAAAAGTTAAAACACTTGTGAGAATCATTCACCTAACCAGACATTAATGGAATATATATATGCACACACAGCACATACTGAACTATAATATGTTTTATCCTCTTTTGTGATTTTCTCTGTTTTTCCAGGTATTTTCTGTGGAAGTGTCCTTCCTGGCCCAGTGCTCATGAATTCCCCGAATGCAACACTTGTCTTTTCCTCTGACATTAACAGAGCAGGAAGTGGCTTTGTCGTTAGGCACCGTGCCGTCCAGGGACACTCTGATCCTGGTGGGAAACACCACACACACACACACACACACACACACACACACACACACAATTCAGACACACGGATACAGTACACAGGCACATGAACCTCAGCATGAAATGCTGAGTTATATACACAGGCTGATACATTCTGCTGTGTCCATCAGTGAGCCTTAACTGAAACTGGACACACTGTATGAACAGGTCATGCACAGTTTTAGCCGTTGCTATGTCTGTTGATTTCGTAGCAACCTGGGATTTGCGCGAGCAGATGTCCCATGACACAATAATGAGTTACAAACACACTGAGGAGGCTGAGGAGAGGATGAACTCAGCTTTTAATAATGTGTCCTTTGTTTTCAGTCTGCAGGTCAGTGTGTGTATTTGTGTTTTGTTATTTATTTTTTATTATTCTGTAAGGGTAGTAATGCTTGTTTCTCTTGTGTGTGTGTGTGTGTGTGTGCGTGTGTGTGTGTGTGTGTGTGCACAATCAGGATGCGGGACAGTAATTCTAATTGAGGATCAGACTGCTGTCCACAGCCTAAATTACCCACAATTCTACAGTAATGACTGTGTCCTCCGCTGGGTTGTCTATGCTCCACAGGGGCATGTTGTTAAGGTGATGCACAAAATCTTCTGCTGAATCAAAATAACCTGAAACGCTAATCAGTAATCAAAGGCTGATTATTGTGTTCTGTTACAGCTTGACTTTTCTGATTTTCACCTGGAGGAGTCTGACGGATGCTTGTATGACTCCCTCACCGTCCTGGGAGATGTAGAAGGAACAGAGGAGATAGGTGGGAGGGATGATGGACGTCTGGGTGGCACAACTCTTTCAAAAACACTTTCTCCTAAACTCTGTTGAACTAGCTTTTCATTCTCTTTGCCCTGCTTGGTTTATGTCTGTCTCCCTGTATATCTTCTGTTACGTTATTCTCAAATTTAAAAATGACTTAACATTACCAGCAAAAAGAGGTTTATTTTGTCAATGTTTGTCTTGTGTAGTGGTGTTGTGTGGTGGAAGTATCCCTCCTCCTGTCCTGTCCTACCACAACGTCATGGTGCTTCAGTTCACATCCGACAGCAGCATCACACATAGGGGCTTCAGTGCTTCACTAACATTCATCATCCATACAGGTATGTCCATGGTGTGTATGTTTAATGTCTGTGAGCTTCATAGTGAATCAGACTGAAAATAACACAACTTTAAAGTAAGATAAAATCTGTACAGAAATGAATACTCATGAAATCTCCCAACTTTTCCCTCTACAAAAACTGCCTCCCCTGGTTTTCTGCAGACCTCTATGATCAGGACACAAGACGTGTGAAAAGTCGAAGAAACGGTCTGAGAGGTCTCCAAAATGATTTGGCAGCTAAACAGCGACACGTAACGTCAGATGGTTGGTGGTTTGTTCAATATTTGGATTCTCTTCTGCCTCTTATGCATTTTAATGTAATCACTTAATGTTTGTGGATTTAGAAAGAGGGCAGTGACACCTGGGTCCCCAGGAAAATGGGGTGGAGAAAGAGAATGGTAACTCTCCTCACCTTGAGTCCTTAAGCAAGGGGCTGAAAATGCAGCTGCTGCTTTGAAGCTGTAGTGCTCGACAGTGGATGGTGCTCCCAGTGGCTCATCCAACTCTCTCAGTAAATTAAGATTACATTAGGAAGGGGAAAAAATTTATCACTCATGCTCCCTACATGCACATAACAGGAAAACATTGTAGGGAGAAACCGCTTGTAGACCGTCTTTTTGTTGCAGTTTTAGCAGCGCTTTCTGGCAGCTAGCATCACTGGGATTTAGAACGTTTATGGGACATTTAACACTGGAGTTAAAGCATGAGACATGAGAAGCAGAATGACACACTTAGCCCTGCAAACTAAAAAATTAACAAAACAAAATTAATGACAGGTTCAAGGGTGAGGTGATTCAGCATTATTTTTGTTTAAATCCTGACCAAATAGTTGCTCTTTTCTCTCCTCTATTTTTATCTCAGTATTTTCTGAGAAAAAAAGTCCTGCAAACTAAACACTTAAGTGCAAGCTGTTCAGTCCATGTCGCCATGGGGAAAAACGTTTTCTTTTCAGCTACTTTAAGAGAGAGAGGTTCAGCACGAAGATAAGAACACAAGAAATACAGTTGTTCAGTATTTCACTGGCTGTCTTGGGGAAGTCTTTAAAAGAAATCCTTTTGCATTTTGGGCAACACACTTGTTTACCTTCTTGCAGAGAGCTATATGAGAAGATGGATGTCACTCACAGATCTTTATGCTAAATATGAAGCTACACGCATATAGCTGGGCGGCTGTGAATGGTGAATGCAGATGTAGTGTAAAAGCGCTTTGAGTGGTCGAAAAGACTAGAAAGGCGCTATACAAGTACGGAGCATTTACATTTACGCACGCAGCAGGTTAGCTTAGCACAAAAACAGGGAAACAGCTAGCCAGGCTCTGTCTAAAGATTATAAAATCTGCTTATCAGCAACACTAACAACTTTTCTTGCTTTGGCGCAGTCACTTCCTGGAGTCTTGGCTTGTTTATTAGTGAAAGTAAGTGTAACAACTGTTTTATTAGTAGTCTTAACAAAAAGATTATATAAATACATAAAAACTAACAAACTAGTTCATCCTTTTTAGTGTAGAGTTTTAGTGTACCAAATGCTAATTCAAAAGCCTTTTCATGTTTAGCAATATACAGTCACAGGAAAAAGTACGTGAATCCTTTGGAATTACCTGGATTTCTGCATAAATTGGTCATAAAATGTGATCTGATCTTCATCCATCTTCATCTACTCCACACAATTAAATGTTTTCATGTATTTATTAAATATACCATGTAAACATTCACAGTGCAGGGTGGGAAAAGTATGTGAACCCCTGGATTTAATAACTGGTTCAGCCTCCTTTGGCAGCAATAACCTCAACCAAACGTTTCCTGTAGTTGCAGATAAGACGTGATCAACCAACAGGAGGAATTTTGGACCATTGCTCTTTAAAAAAAAAAACGTTTTTATTTTAGCAGTAATCTTGTGTGAATCTTAATCGGGCCTGAGGTCAGGACTCTGACTGGGCCACTCCAGAAGGCTTATTTTCTTCTGTTGAAGCCATTCTGTTGTTAATTTATTTCTGTGCTTGTGGTTGTTGTCCTGTTGCATCATACATCTTTTGTTGAGCTTTAATTGGCGGACAGATGGCCTTAAATTTTCCTACAAAATTTCTTGATAAACTTTCCGTATTAAATAATAAATTTTTCCGTTGATGATGGCAACCCTTCCAGGCCCTGAGGCAGAGAAGCAGCCCCAAACCAGGATTCCTCCTCCACCATACTTCACAGTTCAGATGAGGTTTTGATGTTGCTAGAGTGCTATGCTGTGTTTTTTCCCCCTCCACACATAGAGTGTGTTCCTTCCAAAAAACTGAACTTTGGTTTCATGTGTCCACAGAACATTTTTCCAGTAGTGCTGTGGAAAACCCAGGTGTTCTTTTGCAAACTTGAGACGTGCAGCAATTATTAATTTTTTGGATGTCAGTGGCATCCTCCGTGATGTCTTCCATGTCCTCTATTCTTATTCAGTGTTTGATGTATCGTAGAGTCCTCAACAGAGAAGCTAGCATGTTCCAGAGATTTCTGTAAGTCTTCAGCTGATACTCTAGGATCCTTCTTAACCTCATTGAGCATTCTACGCTGTGCAGTCATCTTTGCAGGACGGCCAGTCCTAGGGAGACTAGCAACAGTGCTGAACTCTCTCCATTTAAAGACAGTTTGTCTTACTGTGGACTGATGAATATCAAGGCTTTTAGAGATACATTTGTAACCTTTCCAGCTTAATGCAAGTTAATAATTATTAATCTTAGATCTTTTTTTTGTTCGAGGCATGGTTGACATCAGGCAATGCTACATGAGAATAGCAAAATTAAAATTGCTGTGTTTTTTTTTATAGGGAAGGTCAGCTCTAACAAACACCTCCAGTCTCGTGTTTGGACTCCAGGTTGGCTGACTCCTGACTCCGTTTAGCTTTTGGAGAAGTCAGTAGCCCTGGGGTTCACTTACTTTTTCCATCCTACATTGTGGGTTCAATAAAAACATGAAAACATATGTGTTTGTCCGTTGTTGTGAATTAGGTGAAGATCAGATCAGATTTCATAACCAATTCATGCAGAAATCCAGGTAATTGCAAAGGGTTTACATTCTTTTTACGTGCGACTGCAATTGGAAGGAGATGGATGACATATTACGAGTATTTTTAAATTTAAAATAGTCAAAGTTAAAGATAGTGGATGCACAAAATATTTTGCATCTTTGATTCAAAAATATCACCATCTGCCTACAAAAGTCACAACGGGAAAAAAATCTGTTTTTCTGGTAGTTTATTCTTCTGTCTGCTGTCATCTGCTCTGTCTCTACAACCTCCTTCATCAGACTTGTTGCTTTCTACTGTCTACTTATTGTTTTCTTTCTGTCTTTAAGTTCCTTTGGGACTGTGATACTGCTTTGTTGTAGCTTTTTTCCCCCAACTGTACCTCTTCATCATGTGGTTTACCATCAACACTATTATGCCTGAAGTGTATACAGGCAAAACGTCATACATAATAACCTGTGTCAGTACAGGATTCAATGAGTTTTATCAGCCAAACAAGATCATGAAAAATTAGTCTTTACACCCTTTAAGATTTCAGCAGAACAAGGTGATGTCATTTCAATCTAAAGCCATCAGTCTGCCCCCTCTTTCAGTTGTATCCAAATGCTCGTCAAACTGTTAACACTGCTGCAATCAGAAACAATGATAGCATATTGCATTGCATTGCATTACTGACACAAGAACAAGGCCAGAAAAAAAAAAATCTGTTTTTTACTAGCCTGTCAGAATGCCAGTGGACACAACACATCCAACAGGCAGAGATGACTATCTCACAGTGATCCAGCACATACCCAGTGGTATGGCCAAACAAGGCATTATTTAACTCTTATTTCTCCATATAATTATTTTCAACTCACTATTCTGGTTCAATGTCAAATGATTAATTTCTCAAGTTAGTGTTGATAAAATAATTTAGGAGAGGTAACAATGGGTACCGACTTTTTTGTCTGTCTACTTGTGATACTTTTTCACAGGTTGCATTTGTCTACACATTATAATCAGGTCAACTAAAAGCTGATCAGTCCTTCTAGATTGTTTTATCAAAATACTTTTTAGACATCTGGAGAAAAAAATATTAGAGGGTTAAAGGGTATCACATGTGTTTTGCAATTAGGTTGTTTATGATATAAACAGTATATCAGAAATCTTCTATATTTACAATAACAACCCTTGGTGTCAGTTGAAAACTACATGGGAAAGGGAACTGTTGGTATTGTCATACAGTATAGAAGGCTGTTTGTCTGTACACACCCTCTAGTGGCAGTTTATAGGAATTGAAGTGAAACCAGTGTTATTAGTGTATGTTACTCTGAATAATGTGTGTTTTTCTGCATGCATTTATTACGATCAGGTTAATATGAAGTGGTATGGTAGCATATTGGATAAGAGTCACACTGTTTTGTTAGACTGGTTTTGTGTTTACTTTGGTTGCAGCACTCAGGAATGGGGAACAAGAACACAGCTGGAAGAGATGAGTGAGTTCAAGTACATAAATAGATATTCCTTATAGACCTTTTTCACAGCAGACAGTCTGTCTTCTCATAGCTGAAAAAAAGCACAGGTGTGAATATAATATTAATGTTGATGAGCCAGTTCCAGGGTGCTGTGCATGTTGTGCATGCTCACTTACAGACATTGCTTTCTGGGACACTCAATGAAACAGAGCCATTGACCATGTTATCATTTACACCTGACAAACCAAACTTTCTGCTATAAAATAGGCCTGTTGATTTTTTTTTTCTACATTACTCCTGTCAAGTAGGGTTAAAAGCAGCATCAGAGACATCTTGCATGACAAAAACAAAGATCTTTCTCCCCCTTATTGTGAAAAATGTAACAAATAACTTACAGGGAGCTACTTAGTATCACGTAACTGGGTAATTTTCTATATTGCAATATTGATTGTCTAAACTAAACAAATAACAAGCTCAGAAATATAGGAAACATTCAGTGCAGACCAATTACAATCTTGTTCCAACCTGCAAACATTGTTGGTTGGAACCGAACCAATCATAAGATGCGTGATGTACTTTTGCCTCTCAGGTTTATGCAGTTCCATCAGTTCGCACGAAATGATGAAAGAAAATTAAACAATCATTGCTGTATTGTGCACTCTAGGTGACAAAAAAAAAGAGACTTGTGATATTAGACGTGATTAGGGGTCTGATGTTTGACATTCAGAATTGTTATTCATAATGTGTAATAAGAGGGGGCCATGTTCAGCATGCCTCTGCTGTATCCTGTCTGGGCTTGTTTTGAGATAATGACTGGCTCTTTGTACAGCATTGCTTTTATAATTCTACATAATTCTGTTTTTTAGTGAACTTGGATGTAGCAGACCCAGTTGTGCAGCAGGCCAGCAGCAGATCCCAGTCCCACAGAGGTGATGTGGACAACAATAAGACCTCAGAGGACATGGGCTCAGATGATGAAGACTACAATGGAGACGCCTCAGGGACTGGGTTGTAAGCCACAGGAAGAAGGCCTCAAGACAAAAATACATTTCAAAGTCTGTAATATGTGGAATGACTCTGGTGGTGTATGAAGCTCAGACAAGGATCATTGTTATGATTAGAGTTATGCTGAAGGTAGATGTTGTGGAATATAAATGAATGGCCTTAGAATGTAATGGTCCCCTGGATTTAACACTTTTACCAAAGTGATGTAAAGATTTTCTTTTGTTTAGTTTATTTGTTTTCCGTAAAGGCTGAGCAGGATTTGATGTGTAAACATGGTTGTGGATAGTTTTGATATTATTTACAGGACATAGCAATCCTGAAATTGTAGTCTTTTTTTTGCTGGTTTGGTCAAGTTCATATTCGTTCTACTAACACTTCAGTGGCATAAGCTGGACGATTCAACCATTTATCGATTAGTTTTCATTATTTCCACTTCTCTGCTCACTTGCTAACTACTTTACTCTAGTTGACTGTAACTCTAGGGATCTAGCTATTGGATGGATTGAATGAAATTTTGTACAGACATTCATGTCCCTGTCAGGATGAACTGTAATAACAATGGTGATCCTTTTTATCCAGCACCATCACCAGGTCACTCAATTTGTCCAATCCTTTGGTTTGTGACCAAATACCTGCAGAACTAATGACATCAGCCTCAGCTGCACTTTGTGCTTAGTGCTGATTAGCAAATGTTGGCATGATAAGTTGATATGGTAAAAGTTACACATGCGTGTTAGCATCATGGATCTACCTTACATCTCGTTAATTTTATATATTTTATTTATATTTTAAGTCCCCCTTTTGAGGATTTATAAAATGGTTCGCGGCACATTGTAATGTAGTTTTAAGCAGATATATGTGTTTGTTAATGTATTTATCAGTGACTTATGTGGCCACCCAGGAGTAGAGGTTTGTGTATATAAACAGATAAGGACAATATAGTAAATCTGCAGTACTATATAAAATATATCTGTATCTAAGAAGTTAAAATTGCAAGTAATTCAAGTATTATATTTGTACAACTACATGATAGTGTGTTATAAACCAATTATTAACATTGCATGCTGCTTATAAATTATAAATTGTGGGACTTAAAATAAATTGGTACTATTATTTTTACTGTGAGAGGTGTCTTATGCTTTTAATGTTTGTAGTTGCTTTGTAGTGATTTCTGTAGAGCACTTTGTACTTTATCTGTTATATGCCGTTGTAGATAAGTTTATGATTGTGTTTTTACTACATGGTGATTCTACAAGTAGAATAAAAAACTTTTTGAAGGATTTTTATGGAAGTTGGTTTTTTTTTATAACTTTGCACTCACTCAAACACTGTCCAGTAAAAAGAACCCACGCTCCCCTTTTTTTCTCAGGACAGTTAAAGTTGTCCATTAACTTGAGGACAGACTGTTCTGTCATGTGTCATATTAAGATGCAAATTGTTTACAAATGAAGCAAGCTGTATGTTTCTGATCATCCAACTGTATCATCTTTGAAAATGTACTGATCAATTCTTCTCTGCAAAGAATAAAATGTTTCACCCTCAGTACTTGTTATGTCATCTGTGTGTGTCTCTCCTCCCCTCTCTCAGTGGTGTGATTTCAGGTCTCTGCTCCTCACTGCCTGAGCACCACCTCTGTACTATGTAGTGTCATGGTGAGTTCTGTCTTCCTATTGGTGCTTTGGACTTTGTGTCACCTCTCCCCCAGTGGGAAGCCACTCCCCCTTTGGAGGCCTTTCACTGTGTGTGTGTGTGTGTGTGTGTGTGTGTGTGTGGGAGAGAGAAAGATTGTGAAGGCTATTGCTTCCTTGGCTGTGTGTGGACTCTGGTCTCTCAGGCTGTGTGTGTAGAAGGTTCACTTTGTTACATGTTAAAGTATGGATGACTCCTTGGTGAGAATGAACTTCACTTCATTCCCTCAAATTAAAACAAACACTGATGGAAAACTATTGCTTTTGTACAAAACCTTGACTGTTAGCTTTGTGCACTGTAAGTCTCGACACTGTATGTGATCTTTGTCTTGCAGATGATCCCGGTGGTGGCGGGCGTTTGTGCAGTGGTGGTGTCAGTGCTTTACTTCATCCTGGGAGGCTCTGCAGGAGAGAAGAAGAAGAAGATGCCTTTAACTCTGCAAGATTCCATGGTCAAATACCCCCTTCCCCTTATACACAAACAGGTAGACTGCACACGCATTTAACAAAGAATCTGTAGTTTCCTGCAGACACATTCACATTCAAACTTAATTGTACCAACTTAATATTCAACGTCTATGTTGTGAGTTCAGTACTGTGATGGAAAAATATAGCATCTAACTGGCTGTGGAAAATGAGATGTACACACGTTCATAATCCAGTTTGTGTTCATGTTTCATCCTGTACTGAACTGCCAAACCCTGAGTGAAACACTTCAGGTGAATTCATATGATTGTGGCCAACTACAGTTTTTAGTGTAATGTCTTATTAAACAATGTCATGGTTTGTGTTATTTTCATCTTTTGTAGTGTACACACCAGTTAGAACAATGTGAATAATGTCTTAATGGGCTAAAATGAGATTTGAATATTTGAAAATCAGCACTCTTTCCACATTCTGGATGATCCAACAAGTTGTCACAAATTTTCATTTGAATTACTTTCTACCCCCAGAAAATTGTCGGTGAAATTACCATTTATTTTAACATGCTGTAATGTTCCAGGTTGGGTAAAAAAAATCAGTGTTATGTTTTCAATTAGATTCTAATTTACTCAGCATGTTTCCTGTTAGCCTGATATTTAATAATAATAATAATTTTATTTCCCTACAGTACATTAAGTAAATATACTGTATAAAGACCACCCAGTCTCAAATTGAAGTCTCCAGATATTTATTTCGCAAGCTAGCAAGAATTATATTGTATACACTATATCTTTGTTTGTGTATTTTTTTTCTAACCTGTGTGTCTTTGTACAGGAAATCAGTCATGACACAAAGAAATTTCGGTTTGGCCTTCCATCTGCAACTCATATCCTTGGACTGCCAGTAGGTACGGAAACAGACTTCTCCTCTCTTCTCCGATAACATACTTCCAAACTAGACAGATTTCCTGCTAATGCTTTAACATTTATATCTTGGGAAGTACATTATATCTGAGCAAAGTTTTCATAGTATTTATGTGGTACACAGTATTTATGTGTGTACTTTGTATCTCTTCCTATGAATCTCTAGCCTTATACATGCTGAGTGTTGGCATGTCCTGAAAGTCTCTTGAAATATGTCTGTAAATGAGAATACAAGATGAGATCACTTGCTCTGGTTATAATACTTCTGAGGGATTCCTCTGGTTGAACTGCAACACATCAACAGATACTAGGTCAAACAAGCAGGATATGGAGCAATAAAAAGTCACTCTTTCAAAATATAGCATGCTGGTATTTTAAAGATTCATTAGAGTCCGTTCATTCTTTAGAACACTGTGGAGGTGAGAGAAGTTGTTAAAAGAGCTTACAGCTTGTGTTTCCATCAGGGGACAGTCGCTCATGCTTCTCCCATGCTTCCACATTTTTGGCCGACCTCTCTTTCTCTCAAATCCACCACTTTACCCGTCCTCCCTGCTTGTCCTCCTCTCTGTCCTCTGCACCAGGTCAGCATGTGTACCTGTCAGCCAAGGTGAACGGCAGTCTGGTGGTCAGGGCCTACACTCCAGTCTCCAGTGATGAGGACCAGGGATATGTCGACCTTGTGGTCAAGGTAATTAACATTACTGAGGTGGAGCACAAAACAACACAAACATAAGCTGGCCCATACAGTACGTTAACAGCAGATATTTTTGTGTGGGTTATTTAGCGTGTTGCAGGTATCAGCTGTCTACCACTCTTGACATCTTAGGTCGGCACCACCGTCTATTAACCCTTTTGAAAGGGTTTATACATTGTTTAGAGGCTTTACTAGTGCTAACGAGTCCTTTACTGATGCCATGGATATTGGTTGTCAGGTGGATAACTTAATAAAGTGTCATGACTTTCTCACGAGAAAGTATTGTATTTCTCTCTCAAAAAATACAAAGGCAGATCAAGTGTCATGCTACAAGAGGATAAATACCAGCCACAGTTTTAAATCCACTGTGCACTACCTGCTCAGCACCAAACAGCAGACAGACACTTGGCGACTAGCTGGTGCACATAGTGGAGCATTTAGCAGCTAAAGATATTTCCCCATGAGTTGGCGGAGACTAAAACCGAGTTAAAGGGAGAGTGAATATTGGACCTTGGCCATCAAACATGACTCCAAATAAATGCTAATGTTGCTCCTTGTCTGCACAATGTGTAAATAAGCTATTGTTTGTTAACACGTTTGCCATATCCTCTTGTTAGTAGGACAAACTATTATTAGCTATGCTAACAATGCAAAGAGGTGACTTTAAAGCCCCGCACAGGCAATGACAAGCCAACATATTAAGCTAAGATAAGAAAAGAAACTAAAATAGTTACTGTCCTTTTTGTAACTTCCCCAGGTGTACTACAAGAACTCCCACCCTTCCTTCCCAGATGGAGGGAAGATGTCTCAGTACCTGGACAACATGGCTATTGGAGATGCCATTGATTTCAGAGGACCCAATGGACTGCTGGTGTACAAGGGAAATGGTATGGTGTGTGGAGAGAACAGAAAGCAAGCTTCTGTCACCAGCAGATGTCACTGTGGTGCAAAATAAGACTGTCACAACACATACTCATGCTGAGGCTTATTCTCTCCTAATCAGGTCAGTTTGCCATCCGACCAGACAAGAAGTCGGAGCCGAAAGTTCGGAAGTTCAAGCACGTTGGGATGATCGCCGGTGGAACAGGTTCATTTACATTTCTTTAAACTCTCATCAGTCTAATGTACATTAATTATTTTACTTTATTCAGAAGAACATCACAGAGGCTCAGCAAGCTGAAATCTCTGCAGAATGAAATGTTCATCGTTATATAGATGAAGAGTTCTGCGAGTATACTGTGGCTTTTCTCTCTTATAGATTACACCCAAAGCTGTCCTGTAGTTTAACTTCCAGGACCGTTTGATGATATTTGCTTTGCAGCCTCACTGTTGACAATATAATTTTATTGAAAAATGAGAAAAGGAAACACTGTACCTCCACATAATACCCTCAGTTAGACATGAGCCATCCTCTGAGCCTAACTTCAATGTCTTTTACCATCGCAGGTATCACTCCTATGCTGCAGTTAATCCGCAGCATCACTTCAGACCCCGCTGACAACACCAAGTGCTCTCTCATATTTGCCAACCAGGTCAGCTCTGTGTGCCATATTGTGTTGGGAAATCTTTCCTCATGTGTTGTTGTTAAAGAATATTACTGTACTTAACTGGAAAGTAGTCTGAGAGATAAAATCTCTTTCACTTTGCTGCCTCTCAGACTGAGAAAGACATCCTACTGAGGGAGGAGCTGGAGGAGGTGAAGAAGAACCACCCTGACAAAGTTAAACTCTGGTTCACACTGGACAAACCTCCGCAGGGTAAGGCAGCATTTCTTCAACTATGGACCTAATAACAGGGTGCCTGATGGACCCCCACTCAATATACGCTGTCCTGTGTGTTAAAAGTGCCCCCTGTAGCATTTTAACACCCAGAACAGGCGCTGTTGTTTTAGCAGAAACAGCTTAAGCTTCCAGAGTTTCTTATGACAGGTTGAGCAGGCCAGGGAGTGAAAACTATAGTATTAATTAATTAATATTACCTCTGACCAAAAGAGAGGTTGGATGTGGACCTAATTTTGAAAAACCTTGGCACTGTAATGCATCAAGATGCAAAAAAACCCCTAAATTTTTAAGCTGCACTAATATATATATAATAATACATTTAGATTAACAATTGATCAAATGACAATGTGTAATGTGAAGTGTGTCACATGTAGTGATGAACCCACAGAGAATTATCTCCCAACACTACAGTTCTCCTCAGCTGTGCAGAGATTTTTAAATATGTTTCAGTCAATTGTTTTGGTTAAAAGGCAGCGACTTTACTGTTTTGGTTCTGTCTCACCGCTCTCATCAATCTCATTTCCAGCAGGCAGCTTTTTTTCTGCACAGACATTCAAATAAATCCACTGTACCTGCTCAGCAGCAAACAGCAGGCAGGCAAAGTTAGCAAGTAGCTGGTGGACATAGTGCAGCATTTAGCAGATAAAGAGCCAGATATTTTCTCATTGTTGCAAATGTTGCTGTGTATCTGCTGGATGTCTTAATAAGCTATATATAGTTAATAGCTTTAAGGTCATTTTATGTCGAACTTCCGAGTTCTGCCCCCAAGTGG